TCCCACGCCGCCATTTCGCGCACAGAAAACGCGCACAAAACCACTTTACCTGCACTTGTAATACAAAATAGTATGTGTATCAAGTGCGGAAAGTTGACAATTGGTCACGAGTGCGCGGGATGGACGCACGAGCCGAAGGCGAGTTGCTTCTCTGGAAAAACATTGCGTTATTTGTCGGATAAAGTGGCAAAATTTCACTCAGCTATTTATTGGATCCGGAAAAAAATTATTATATTAAAACAAATACATATTTTTTGTATAGAATATATATTATTATAATATACTATTCTTCACTTTTCTCTTCGTTTGCATACCGTGAATAATAAATATTTAATACGCTATCACATACACGCGCATTGTTAATTACGCTTGAAGATACAATTGTGCATTCGGTAAAGAAGCAACGGAGGATGAGAGGTTTAATTCAGAATGGGGAACTGTTGCATTCCATTCACGGGCGGATACATAACAAATGTCTTTATTATGAATAAAAGAGATGAAATCGATAGGCAATTGGCTTCGGACGCGTTTATGCATTGTGCGATTCGCGCTAATTGCCTCATTTAATCGCCGTGTCTTTAGCAATCCGGCTATCGATCATCGATAACGTCAAGGACGCCGCGATGAATTGCGATGATAATGAACGGCAAAAAGAGAAGCGCGATTCATGTTTATATTTGATCGCTACGGAATGCGCTTATCGCCGCTGCAAAACGCGCCTCGAGGGAAATCTTGTTTGTTAGATTTAATTGAGGAAATAATAAAATAATTATAAACGAAGAGAGAAAAAAATATAAGCGAAATGTATATGAAATTGGTGAATTTACACAATATTATTAAAACTAATAAATTTTAATATATGAAACAACTCTCTCGTAGAATAAATGAAAAAAAAAATGGATATATATATATATATATTTAATAAAAAAATTAAAGAAATTCAAAATAAATTATTAAGAAAGATGAGAAAATAAAACTTTGCTTTATACTGGTGGTACCCACAATTAAACACATTTATATAAGTTATATTATAGTTTATGTAATGATAGTTGCTTGATATATACTTAATGACGATGCAGCTTCGTGATATTAAAAATTATGTAACCGTTCTAATATGAAGTAAGCTTCTTTAGAAAAATATTTTCTTTTCAAATCTTTTATATTTAATCAAATATAGCATCGTCGAATTTAACGACGCATATTTATTTGTCGTTAATCATTTATCGCAGATATCGAGGTTTACATTATTTTCTTATCGAGGTACAAGAGAGGGAAAAAAACAAATGTATAAATCACCCTGGAGTAGAGAAAGAACGGAGAGGATTAAAAAGTGCATCCGTCAAGTTTCTTGGCGATATTTTCCCTTCGAGAGAAACTTATCACAAAACGATATCTATCAACGTCAGCGTACTTTTTACAGGAATCCGTGTCGATCTTGAAACTTGCGACACCAGCAGCGTCGGTCGAACAACGACGTAGTCCAGTAAAATTAGACTTTGATTTTATAAAAATTAGGATCAAGCTGAATTTTTGCGGATACCTTCATTTCGATGTTCTAATAAAATTCTGAAAAGTACTTAATTTCATCTAGAACGTCTTTTTATGGGGGATAAGTTTTAGTTTCTTGCAATTATCTCGAAAACTATCAATTTTTCGAGAAAAATAGTTATCATCAAAATTGTAGCTTTAAAAATTCTCTACAGAAAGGGTTACTATACTTTTTTCGCCCAACGAATCGTTTTTTGAGTAAAACGTTTGTTATATAATTGTTGACTTAATTTGCTCTATATCTTCGAAACGGTTAATTCCACGAAAAAAAATATAACAACCTTTTTTGTAGGGAATTTTATGAGCTACAATTTTGATAATAATTATTTTTCTGAAAAAATTCGTAATTTTCGAGATAATGGCAAAAAACTAAAAAAAGAACACTCTAGATGAAATTAAGGGTACTTTAATTTTTTGTCATTATCGCAAAAACTATCAATTTTTCGAGAAAAATAGTTATTATCAAAATTGTAGCTTATAAAATTTTCTACAAAAAAGATCATTATACTTTTTCTCGTACAACTAATCGTTTTTCAGTAAAACGTACGGTAAGGTTGCCACGTCTGTAGTTCGTTATATAATCGTTGACTTAATTCGCTCTATATCTTCGAAACGGTTAATTCCACGAAAAAAAGTATAATAAACTTTTTTGTAGGGAATTTTACGAGCTACAATTTTGGTAATAACTATTTTTCTCAAAAAATCGATAGTTTACGAGATAATGGCAAAAAACAAAAACTCACCCCTTTTTACCCCCTATGAAAAACGTCCTGGATAAATTAAGGTCTCCACAAAAATTCAGCTCGATCTTAATTTTGATGAAGAAATCAAAATCTCATTTTACTAGACAACGGGAGAAGAAGAATAGATAAACCGCAAGCTCGCTCGCGGATGCATTTTCCGCCGGGGGTGCAATTAACGTCACTTGGAGAAGCGAGCGTTGAAAAGCGGTGTATACGTGTTTGTTGTATATCGATCGAGAGACGCGCGATATATAGAGAGAGAGAGAGACAAGACACGAGACCCAATCTGGGGGGTTCGATTTTCGATATATACGCGCGGGTCAGAAACCACGCGCGATTGTGGATGCAACATTGATGATGTCTCTCGCCCGTGAGATAACAGGTTAAACGTGCATCTCGCGGCCCCTATTCTGCTCCCCCTCTTCCTCCTTTCCCTTCACCCTCCCGCCCTTGTTATCGCGTGGAAGAGAGAGAGAGAGAGAGAGAAACTACGGCTCGCATCGATAACGATAATCGGCGCCGCATCGCTCGTGTCGACGGCTTTTATAAATGAGCATTTTCGGGTGAATGCACGCCGTAAATTCTCATTCAGGATAAACAAAGCCCGTGCAAGTGCCGCTGCGCAGGAATTACGACGGTGTAATATTGTAATAAAAAAAAATTTACAACGTAAAATCTATTTTATTACCTTATTGTTGGAAATTTCTGTCAGCTTATGAACAGACATTTTTTATTTAATGTACATTAAATTAATTCGATAGCAATTAAAATTATTACTCCTTTAACTGCACATTTTACGATATGTTTATATAACGAATTAATTTATTTCACTATAACACCACAGTAATATAGTTTGATGAAGTCTCATATAAAGGTGTTGAAATAAAATATAGGAATAATAATAATGAAATAAAATAAATAAAATGAATAAATAGTAAATATTAATGAGATGAAATAAATAAAAAAAAAACGGATAAATAATACATGAAAATAAAAAAAAATTAATAAATGAATTAATGTTTATTTGGCGCAGAAAAATAACGAAGAAGAGGTTTTTAAAGAGTGTCAATATTGAATTTGAATTAAAACAAAGCAAAAGAATATTCCCGCGAAAAAAAGGAGAAAGAGCTGCGCCTATGAAGAATAATTGAATTATTAAGCTTGTCGGACGATCATTGAAAAATTCGTTATCTAACGTAAACCATTACATAAAAAGATACGTAAATATACGTGCCATTGTTAATCAAGATAATTATCGTTACGTAATCAACTCGCGCCAAGATAAAAGTGAAAAGCAAAGGATGGATCCGGTCGAAGACAGGCGCTGAATTCTCTTCGATAATAATTAACGACGATCATCGGAATGTTGACCATTATGGTAACAGAGGCATAAAATTCTTCTCTTCTACATAATTCGACGCGCAGTTCGAATGTATAAAACGTCGCAGTTTCAAAGAAACAATTACACATTTTATTTCTAATTAAATTAAATTAAATTTCTATTTTAAATTAAATTTCTATTTTTATTTAATTTAATAGAAATTTTTAATAAATTTCTATTAAATTAAATTTTATTGAATACCTATTTCCATTTAATTTAATAGAAATTTTTGACATAATAATTAAATTTTTATTTAATTCCTTAGAAATTTCTAATATAATAATTTCTACGAAAAATTAAATTTCTATACGCGCGTATCTACTATATTCACCAGTGAAATCCCGAGAGTCCTTAGACCGCCAGGATCGTCCTCGGGAAAGTCCACGAGGTTCCTTGCATCCTGCTTCGGAAAGTTCGCTCGTCCCAAACCGGATGTGGGATACGCTGTTTAACGTCGTAAACACAGACAATCCGGACGCTTTGCTCCGACATTCCCGCAATAAAGAGTTCCATCCGGATTATTTCCGCATAAGCGATTACAAGAGAACAAAACAATATGGCATCCTTTATTTTAGAATCGCGACTGGTTAATTTCCCTTTCTATATACGGCTTAACATGTCTAAATTTGTCTGGACAGGCTCTAAATCCTAGAATAATCGTTCGTGAAGTTTTAATTAACAGACAGTAAAAAAAAAATTTTTATACAAATATCTCCTAATAATCCTCCATTTTTAAATTTTGTCATTTTTAATTATTGATTATAATTTTGGAATTAGAATAAAATTTCATAAAACTCGACGCAATACTTTTTTTCAACTTCCCGAGGGATTATATCGCACGGACAACACGCAATATAATAATTATAAACAATTAAGAGCAGGAAGAAAAAGAGGCGAGCGCCTTTTATTAACGCGATGGAACTGTTTACCGAGCGCGCGCACACGCACAAACAAACAAACACACACACACGGATAGAACGCTGCGTGTTGCAGGTCACTTTGGTTTTTCGGAGTCGCCAGGATTCCCGGAATTCCGGCTGGCTGGCGTTCCGTTGGAATGACTCAAAGCAAGAGACGGACCGACGAATTCTCCCTTCCCTCGTCAAACACTCCTACGAGATATATCCCTTTTCGGAGGAGCCGGACCTCCCGAAAAGCCACGATATACGAGCCGGCAATGAGAGAGAGAGAGAGAGAGCGCGAGAAAAAAGGAGCTCTTTTTCGGAGCAATATAGGTCTCCGAGTGGGTCTAACTTTTTGGGGGATTTTTTCGAGCGACCTCGAGAGCAGGAAGAAATAAAACGGGAAATGACTCCGCTCGACCTTACCTAAGGTCCCTTCGCTGATCCGTCCGCGGGCCCACACCCCTGCTCACGGGATGATGCCGCTTCTTCGTCTGGGGACCTCTGTCACCGTCGCGACGCGTCGCGACGGCGCCGACGCTCGCCCGCGTGTCACGCGACTCCCTGCGGCCGCACCGCCGTCTTTATTTATTTCGCGAAGGGCCGCGCGCACAAGGTCGATGTGTCCCGCTGGGTCCCGCTCATCGGTCGGAAACGCGCACCGTGGTTACTGAATCGAAGCTGCGAGCACGTCGCCCGACCCCGAGATCCAGCGCCTTCTGGTGCGCCTTCCGTTCTGCGTGGCGAGACACTGCGGCTCGAGAGATCTGGGGATTTGTCCCCGTTTCGAAGCCTCCCACCTGAATCCCGAGGTGCCTTCGATTGTTTTTATGATGGCCGGCCGCAGTTTTTATTTTATAAATCGTGCGGAAGCGGAGTGGGCTGTGGATGAAGGGTGGCGGGAGAAATAATAAATTGAATGAGTAATTTCGATTTTTTTTTTCTAGGAGAATTGCAACTTGTCCAGATAGATGGACAGGAAGTCACTAGCAACTAGCGAGGGCGATCTATTTTTTTTTTTTAGCACTTTTTTATTTTTCTCGATATTTTAAGGGAAACGGTTGTTAAATAATTATATTAAAAATTTAATTTAATTTAATAATGTTTATAATATAATATATAGATCACATTATAGCGTTTTGGCTCGCGCTTCGCGCGAATCTTAGGCATTTTTTTTTTTTAATTTATTTTTATTAGACATCAAATAATTAAAATGAATTCGCCAGTGATAAATTGAAATATGATTTATTAATTATTTGACCTGATTGGCCGATACAAATTAAATAATCAAGTTTATCTTGAAACACTGCAATTTTTTAATTATAATTTAAATTATAATTATTAGGAAACAAATAAAATTGTTTTTGACAGATTAACTAATTAATTATTTAGTATTTACCATTTTCATATTCGTCAATTTCTCTATTTATTTCGCTCTGTAATTTTTATCCATGATATTTTTTTTATTAAAGGGATACTGCCGTTGTTCTGTTTTACCGGCTTTAAGTTAGGTTAGGTTCACTTTTTATTGAATGATAACACAGATTAAAAAATCCTACACAATGGAAGTACTGATAATAATACATACATAATTAATTTAATTTAATGAATTTTTTGGCAGGCTTTTAATTTCATTTTTATTACTCCTGTATTAGTTTTTCATGTCATCTTTATTGAGAGCACCATATTTTGTGCACAAATAAACTGCAGAACTTTTGTATTAAATAAGTATTGTTATGAGCTGATGCAAGAGGTCGATAAAGAAACTATAATTTTTTAACTTTTATTGTTTTTAAAGAAGAGCCTTGAACTCAAAGTCGGTAAAACAGTCATGGTCAGCATTGCCTTAATCAATCTGTTTGTTTCACGAATTATTTTACAAATGACAAATTAACATGTGAAACCAGCATGTTTATATAGTCATTTATTAAATAATTTACGTTCAGAAGTATAAACTATTTATTATTATTACACATAAGGTGTCTTTTTTAAACGCTATTGAATGAAAGTGAGAATGTAATAATTAATGAAAATAATGGCACTGGACAGAACGAAAGAAATATAGAAATTGACGAATATGAAAATGGAAAATACTAAATAATTAATTAAAACATTTTTATACAAATTTCTAGAAAATTAATCAATAAATGCGTGAATGCGTGAGTGAGTGTGCGTGCGTGGGCAAACTAAAAACCACATTATTAAACATTCCCGAAGAATTTACGAAATTGTACAAAATTTATGAAAATCTGTCAATGAATGTGTAAATGCGTGGGTGGATGCGTGGGTAAGAAAAACTAGAAAAACAAAACGTAATAGCCATCCCCGGAGGCGTTACAGTCTTAGACATACCCTTTCGCTGGAATTTGATTGTGCGCCGGAATATTATTTTGCGAAACTGCAAAAATAATTAAAAAATTGACTATCAAAATTTTGTTCCCTCCCCAACTTTGCACCCTACGCTGGAGCGTATATTGCGTACCGCCTTGTGACGCCTCTGGCCATCCCCAAAAATTTGCAAAATTATTGTACCTATTTCATGAAAATCGGTCAATGAATGCGTCAATGCGTAAGTGGATTCGTGGGTGGGTATACGTGCTGGGGCAAAACTAAAAAAACCACATAGTAGCCATCCGCGAAAAATTTGTTTATATGAATACATATATATTAATATCTATATATTATATTATAATATTTATATTTATTTATTTACTTTTGTATTCTAATTAAATTTCGATTTAATAAAGAATGTTGTAGAAATTTATCCGAGATTATTTGTATGAAGTTTTAGACAGGTGATTTTAATTATATCTCTATGAGTGTTTTTTAATAGATTATATATATATACATTTTTATTCTTTGCATTTAATTTTTATTTGATTATATTTTTATTTCCTTATCAGACTATAAATCTTTAAATTCTTTTTTAATTTCTAGCTTTTAAATTATATATAATTAATATTAAATTTCACGTAATATAATAATTTAAATAATTAAAGCATCGCTCAATCTTTATATTCTATTTACCATAAATGTGATTCTCTAGTAAAATAATGATTTGGACAAAAATTTCGGACAAATTAGATCCAGCTTAAATTTCTGATTTCAGACTTTACTACCAGAGGTCAGTTCTGAACATCTTTCTCCAACACAAGTTTTCACACAATTCCTCTTGAAATCGCGTACAAAAGAAAATAATAAAAAAAGAGCTGTTATAAAAATGTTTTTCTCTATAATTTAAAAAATATTCTAAATCTTTCGTTAAAATTTTTTTTAAATAAATCAATTCATTGCGCGCATATTTTATCAGCAGATGATATACATATATAACGTATACGATTAAAAATTATTGATATAAAATTATTATTTAATACTGAAAGAAATATCTGGATGATTTCGTAGTAAAAAAGATTAGTACAAACTGCGGCGAATTAATTTCGAAAAATTTGCGATAAAAAATAGTTCTCCCTATGTTCTCACCGCGATGATGCCTTTTGAACATCAGCCTAGAGCTCGCTCCCACCACCGACAGAACAAAATCTGGGGGAAAAGCCGACAGCTGTCGTGACGGAATTTCGTTGGACTGACTCGACGGCGAAAAGCGTCACGATATCATATCCATTAGCTAATATACACGTCAGTAATGGGTAGCGATAGTTGGCGCGTAGTTCACATACGAGCGTAGATGCGTAGTGCTTGATTACGACAGAGGTAACGATAGTCGTTTATCATTTGTTTTTGTATCAACCAGTGTTGTCAGTGTAGGATTATTTTTATCCCTTTTTCGGCGCGTTTGTCGATTGGTCGCGATAAAATTCAATCGGTGATTTAATCCCACGATTGCGTACAATCGTCAGCTGTCAATTGTCACGTCCTGCCTTGCGATGCTCCCCGATCGAGGGTGGCGAAAATTTCGGAGTAAATTCTGACCGACGACTCCCAACACGAGGCCGAGTGACGGAACGATTTGTTTTCTTTCGCGCAGGCAGAGCGAGGAACCCAAAATGGCAGACGACAAAAAAAGCGACGACACGCTGGAGCGGGATTCGGAGGACAAATTGGATCCGGCGGAGGAGAGATCGCGGTATTTTAAAAAATTGGAGAAATGGGTCCAGGAGGCGTACGCTTGGCAGAGTGTTGCGGCAATGTTTCCTTATTACGTCATGTCGGGACACATTGCGAATCCGACACCCGGTATGAATAAGTGCGAGTTGTTTTGAAAGAGCATACCTCGAAGAATAAATAAGATATTTTTATTTTTATTTTAAGAGAAAGAATTTTTATCATTGTATAAATATAAAAATATAGGAGATATATATATATATATATATATATATATATTTAAAGAAAAAAAACTTTTTTTTATATCATATAATAAAACAAATTATAATAAAAATGTCTGATCAATTTATATATGGTATTATAAAAAATATGCATGCAAAGTAGATACTGATAAATTGTGAAGAAGATAAAAAATTCGGTATTTGTTTATATTTAAAAATAGAGAAGAACTCTGTAATATTTTTTTGTACGAATTATTTTTATATTTGTATATAATAACAATTTAATTGAAATTAAAAATTATTTTATTTATTTAAAAATTGTTTTAAAATTATTTAATTATTAAATTATAAGATGAATAATTTTATCTCTAGAATTATAGATTTCTCTTTTTATGGAAATTATAATTTTTACTTCAGCTTCAACAGCTTTTCAACCAAATCAAGTTCCAACAGCACCAAACAGACCAGGAGTAATTATTGGAAATACAGAGAGACAAAATGAGGAAGTGAGGCAAAGGAGACCTCAAGAACAACCAGCTGGTCCTTTTCAACCTCCTGGAGCTGAAGGTAAAAAATGTTGCAACTGTGTTTTGAAGAATTATTAGAACATATGTCGTATGTGCAAAACATTTATCTCCAATTTATTTATATTTTACAGGTTACGAATATCGCATTCCTCCTATTTGGAAGAGATTTGCCGCGGAATTTATAGACTCGACGATGCTATTTTTGTTGAAGTTTTCCATCACTTTCATCGCGATCGACGTATTTGATTTTATGTACGTAAAGAAACACGAACAGTTTAGTAATTTATGAAATGTCTATAAATTTTTTTAGCATATTAGAGAGATAAAATTTGTATTAAGTATTTTAGAAATATTGAGTTTTCTTTCAGTATAATAAATGATTTTTATTTTATTTTTTACATTATATTTTTATACTTTATAATATTAAAAAAAAACGATTTTTTTTCTTTCTAATGTAACATCTTTTTTTCATTTTACATTTTATTATTTGCGATATTATATAGCGATTGTATTATATTTTTCAGAGATATCGAAGATTTAGATGTATTGCAAACAAATTTGCGTATCGATTACAAAATAGCTTTGGAAATGACTTATGGAATTCTGATCTTGGAAGTAATTCATCGTGTGATAGTTTGTATCTTCGAGGTAAGAGATTTTACCAACATCTCAAAAAAAAAAAAATAAAATAATGCAAAAATAACATATCCCATAACATATTTAAAAAAAAATCTATCCCGTATAAATTAAATTTTATTATTCTAAAATTTTATTTTAATTCCATGTAATATATTCCAGAAATTTTAAATTATAAAATTTTATTTTAATTTTATATAATATGCATTATACCTATCACAAAATTTTAAATTATAAAATTTAATTTTAATTTTATATAATGTGTACCGCAAAATTTTAAATCATAAAATTTAATAGTAATTATCCGCGTAATGTATTTCATAAATTTTAAATTATAAAATTTAATTTTAATTTTACGTAATGCATACCTCCCAAAAATGTTAAAATTTAATTTTAACATATTATAAAACACATTATAAAATTTAATTTTAATGCTCCTAATGTTATTAATGTTAAATTTTAGAATAATAAAATTTTAATTTTAGTTTTAATTAAATTCTAAAATTTAATTTCAATTTTCCTGGCCTCTAAAATTTCCTCTTATTATTATTGATTATTAATTTTTTCTTCAGGCCTTCTGGCTTCAACATGGGGTGTACGGTTTCATCGGGGCGCTACTCCCGGCAAATACATGATGGGCCTGCGGGTGGTCCAGTGTCGAAGTATAACCCCGGTGGAACGTCCGAACGAGCCGGACATGGTCCTGGTGAGTCCCGGGACCGATCTGGGTCTGCCGTTGGCGCTGGGCCGATCGGTGGTGAAGAACTTCGTGTTGGCGTTTCTCTTCCCGATCTGCTTCTCGTTGTTCTTCTTCAGATTCAACCGAACCGGCTACGATCTGATCTGCAATTCCATCGTCGTGGAGGATCCCTATAGAAATTCGAACAACAATCGGATACACCAGCAGTAGTCCCTTTCTGAAGGGAACATGCTGGCATGGAATTCTGTGATGTGTATATAATAATGGCTGTCTGTGCTTCTTGTACCAATGTATGCGTGCGGAATCATGTGTGTGTATAACATGTGTACATATGTGTAAAAAATAAAAATTATTATTATTGCCGCGTTCCAGCAATTTCTCTGGTATTTTGTGAGAGATACATTTTCTTGCAGAATGTTTAATCATATTTCGTGGCTAACTTTATTTCAGCATTTCGGAGTAAATAGTATAACAAAATATGTTAAAATAATTTTTATAGCAGATTCTTAAGATACGTAGATGAATGTAGCTTTATTATATTTTTAATATTAATTTATAAAGCTAAAAGACAAGCCTCTCTTTAATAGAATCAGTGCATTATTACTGATGAGCAATTGTTTTAATTATAAGTATAGCACTGTGTTGGTGCAATTTTATTGAAAAAATCAGTTTGTGATAGTGGCTGATTTTTAGTAAAATCTTACTGTCATAGTTAATAATTTATTGAAAAGATCAATGGAATATTTTTTGATTTTTGGGATGAAATTTTATCACTCATCAATGACATTTTTGCTGATTAATTTTAAAAGAGTATATCAACATACCACGACATTACTCCAATAAAAAATGACGTCTAATTATGTAATAAAAAATGTAATTAAAATTGACATTTGCAAAGTATTAAAAAAGAAAAAGATGAATGTAGTTTATTATTTTTTTTAATATTAATTTAAAGCTAAAAGACAAGCCTTGCTTTCCTCTCTTTAATAGAATCAGTGCATTAATTGTTACTGATAAGCAATTGTTTTAATTATAAGTATAGCACTGTGTTGATCCAATTTTATGAAAAAAATCAGTTTGTGATAGTGGCTGATTTTTTAAGTAAAATCTTACTGTCATAATTCATTAAAAATATTAATGAAAATATAAAAGAATATGTTTATCCACATACCACAACATTAATCCAATAAAAATGACGCCTAATTACATGTAATAAAAAATTTTATTAAAATTGCAAAGTATAGAAAAACCCAGGGAAAAAATTTATATAGGTATAATAATATAAAATTATATAGAAATATAATTATATATTTATATAAATTTATATATATTATATATATAATAAATAAGTATTTCTTCATATATATAAATATATATGTTTTATATACAATTTGACATGATTATATATTATTACATGAACCATTATAATTTACATATAAATTTATATAATTATGTATAAAAAATAGACATTCACATAATTTTACGATTACATGTATAATTATACAATTATTTATATATAATTATATATAAAACATTTTTTCCCGGGAATGTAATTCAAATATGAGAAACAATATGGCGCTGGCCGCCATATTGTTTCGCAGCGCTTAGGAACGATTTTCAACTGACATCTGTCCAGGAAAAACGTTGAGAATATCCTTTATTCCACCAAACGGATTTTCCCTTCTCGGAAACCAGTGGCGCCGCGTTTTCCACAGTTCTCCGTCTTACTCCAGCCGTCGCTACGTCACTTCCCGGTTAAACGTGGCCGCAAGGAGTGGCATCGAAGCCAGCTAGCGTCGCGAGCTGTCAAGCTGTCGGCCCCGAGTAGAGCCCGAGAGAGCTAGCGGAGACTGGTCGAATCAGCCGGCGCAGCTGATCGCCTTAAATGACTCGACGGGCCGGCCATCGAGCGTGTTGAGCCTTCCGTTTCTGCCTGCCGTCGTTGTTTGTCGGGGGAAAAACTTTTTTCCCACCTCAGTACCCTGCCGAAGTACAGTTCCGTTTTTCAGGGCGAGCGAGAGACGCAAAACATGTCGTCCTCGGGCGATTTCGGCAATCCGTTGCGGAAGTTCAAGCTCGTCTTTCTGGGCGAGCAGAGCGGTGAGTGTTTTTTTTTTCTCCCTCGAAAAAAAGGAACCAGTTTATAAGTATAGTGTGTCAACAAGTGTGTGCCCTCGCGTATCGCGACGATGTGCCTTTTTCTCTCTCTTCTGCGAAACAAATGGATCGATCTCTTCCCCGAAAGTGGGATGCGCGCGAGACCCGGTTCCCTTCGGTCTGGCAAACCCCGACTCGGGGTGACTACCCTTCTCGCCTCCGGTGTGCCCTTCTAGGTTATAGATCAATATTCTCCATTGCCGCCGAGATGATGACACGGCGACGCGTCGCTTTAAATTCACTCGTTGCGATATACGCGCGAGTTCGATATTTAAATTCTCGCACTCTTGATAGGCGCCCTTTAATTTTACCCTTTTCTCCAGTTAAATTCTCTTTTTTTTTATTATTTCTATTATTTTATTATTATTTTTATTATTTTATTATTATTTTTATTATTTATTATTGTTCGAGAAAAATATTTAAATATTAATTTTGTCGAATTTTCCTTTTCTCCAGTTGAATTCTCTTTTTTTTCATTATTTCTGTTATTTTATTATTATTTTTATTATATTATTATTGTTCGAGAAAAATATTTAAATATTAATTTTGTCGAATTTTCCTTTTCTCCAGTTGAATGCTCTTTTTTTATTATTTAATTATTATTATTGTTATTGAAATAGCGAGAAAAATATTTAAATATTAATCTTGCCGAATTTTCCCCTTTTCTCCAGTTGAATGCTCTTTTTTTATTATTTTTATTATTTTATTATTATTATTGTTATTAAAATAGCGAGAAAAATATTTAAATACAAATTTTGCCGAATTTTCCCCTTTTCTCCAGTTGAATGCTCTTTTTTTATTATTATTCATATTATTTGATTATTATTATTATTGAAATAGAGAGAAAAATATTTAAATATAAATTTTGTCAATTTTTTAATGAAAGTTTGATCGCGTAACGAAGGAAAAGTGTGAATTTAAGGGAAGGAGAAATAATTTTTTCCCCCGGGGGTCTTAGAAATTAAAAATTAAAATAAAGCTGTAAAACTGTGAAATTTTGAGACCTCCAAGTTTGAGGGAAAATTTAAAGTTGCAAATGTGTGAGTTGAATAAATGAGCCATGCAATTTTTCATTGCAGTCGGAAAGACATCACTTATTACACGGTTTATGTACGACAGCTTTGACAACACATACCAGGTATGTAACAATTTATTCGTCTTGTACTTAAATGTTAATCGAGCGTAAATTGTTTGTTTTGTCGTTTCTGTTGCATGTTTAAAAAATCTGCATAATCTGCGTCATTATTTTTATTATGTGTGTAATGTATATAGGTTATATGGAAATTTGTGCGTTTTATTTATGTATACAGATTATGCTTTAAAATTGCAAAATAATGCACTAATGGCTTCAATCTTTTATGCAAATATTTGTAAAATGTTTATTTCAAGCTTGTATTTTTTATTAAATTTTGTACGTGATTTTATGAAACTTTGCACCAAGATTCTAATTTTTTAATATTTAAATTTGATTTTATCTATTACATCAGGTTTAATAAAAATGGATAAATTTTTATGTGAAAAATAATTCTTTCGTAAAGTCCTGATGACATTTATTCGCTCTACTTGCCATGAAATAGTAAAACCGGCTATCAATCTAGATAAACTCTATATTGAATGAGGATTATTGCATTTGGCTATAAACTGTCATGCAATATTATCTTCTAAGAATTTAGATAAGAAATAATAATCCAGAATATATGCATTATTTATTAAAATATTTTGAAGCCACTTTTTTGCACAATTAATTAATATTGCGTGCTTTTTACTTTTTTTTGCTTTCCATTTTTTTTATTATAACTATTGCTTATCAGATAAAATCTTTTAATTATTTACTCTGCATGAACAAATTTGTAATATGTCTCTGAATTTTTCTGTATCCAAAATTTTCAATCGTGCTATTAATTTCTGCACGAAATTAAACTTGTGTATGTTAAATGTTAAATGTTTTATTTTTTTGATTATTCTGCTATTTCTTTCTCACACAACTTCTATTATCAATGTTAATTAATTTTTAATTCCACATCCATCGAAGCACGACTATGAAATGCAATTTGTTTGTACGTTTCGAATTGTTTGTTCGCTTTCTGTATCAATTGCGCTTTCTACATATTTCGCTCGTTTCCCTTTTATAGCATTTTAAGAGAGTACATAACTATGAATATTTCAAATGCAGAAAGTGTAAGAAAGTACAGTTAGAACGAATATACCTAATGCTAGCAGAAGAGGCAGTAAGGAATCGAGATATCGACTTTTTCTTATCGACAAAGATAGAAAGAGAGACAGAGAAATTTGTAGAACGTCAATATAATTCACTTCTCACGCACTTTTAGAGTAAATTACATCGTGTTAGATTATGTTATTAAATTATTAAACGTAAAACAGAAGGAATAGACAAATATGATTGCTAATTTTGCTTCAAACAAAATTATAATTTTAGAAATATTTATAGTTATATTGTAATAATTAATTGAATATTACTTTAGTATTAATTAGTATATAGGTAAATTAAAATATTATTATATATTATATTAATATATAATAGTAAATTTATATTTTAAATATTATATATATATATATATATATATATATATATACTAATAAATATATTATTGTATTAATATAATAATAAATGTATATATTAAATATTATATTATAATATAATTAATTATTATATAAATTATTTTTTATAATATATATACTCGACATACGATTAATTAAATAAGTTTTAATATTGTGACGCACTGGTATGTTGCAGGCTACGATAGGTATAGATTTCTTAAGCAAAACTATGTATCTCGAGGACAGAACTGTCAGATTACAGCTGTGGGACACAGCGGGCCAGGAACGGTTCCGCTCTTTGATACCCAGCTACATCAGGGATTCCACGGTCGCTGTCGTTGTTTACGATATTACTAGTAAGGATCAAATATATAAGGAATACCGTATCTCAGATAGCTGTGTGCCAGCAGTCTCCAGTGCTGACGTTGGAATATATTCTTCTCGAATAGTATATACATTTTTTACAAATATTTTTCGTTATTTATTAAATATTTTATATATATATATTCTTATTTATTTTTGATACGAAGCTTCGATTTTTTCCCTGTTTTTGAAGATTTTAAAAAATTAAAATCTCTCTTCAATTTTTCACTATATTTTAATATATTCATATTTATTTATTTGAAATTAATCAGAAATATGCATATATATATTTATTCGTGATACAAAGATTTTTTACTATTTTCGGAAATTCTTAAAATTAAAATCTTTAATCAATTTTCGTGAACAATACATTGATTTTCTTTCAGTTACAATTTTTTATAAAAATTCTAAATTCTATTTTAATATATATATATTTATGTATTTCAAATTAATAAAAAATACGCAATAATATAATAATAACTAAATTAAAAAAAAAAATAAATAAACTCTTTCAATAAACTTTCGTGAACAATACATTGATTTCCTTTCAGTTATAATTTTTTATAAAAATTCTAAATTCTATTTTAAAAAATATATATATATATATATTTATTTATTTAAAATTAATAAAAAATAATAAATAAATTTGGCTGCTGGCAAACGCTATCGGTGAATGAACGATGAAAAAAATTAAGACTGCTCATTTGTCAGACGCCAATTCGTTTCACCAAACATCCAAGTGGATAGACGATGTGCGGACTGAAAGAGGAAGTGATGTGATAATTATGCTAGTGGGCAATAAAACAGATTTGAGTGATAAGAGGCAAGTCTCGACGGAAGAGGGCGAGCGGAAAGCGAAGGAGTTAAATGTGATGTTTATCGAAACTAGTGCTAAGGCCGGCTACAACGTGAAGCAGGTAATTATTTCATTCTTTTTTTTCTCTCCGAGAAGTCATTTACGGAGAGATATTTTTTTTTCCTCATTCTCCGATGCCGACGAAAGTGGCGGAAGTGGCGCGAATGGTAAAGGCGAATTTACCGTTGTTAATTATTTTAGCTATTTAGAAGAGTCGCGGCGGCTCTGCCGGGAATGGACTCCACCGAAAACAAGCCACCCGAGGACAGTATCCTTTTTCCGTAAGATATATACTTATACTGCTCGCAATTTTGCATGGCACATTTGCAGGAAACGTTCGCGGCGACTTCTCTCTCTCTCTCTCTCTTTTTCTCTTATTTCACCGTGTACATAAATCCCATCTCTCACCACATTTATTGCCTCGAAATTATCCTGCATTTTATTACTATCGAATTTTTGTCATTCATCAAGCAAGACAAATTTGCTTTCTATTTTTATCTTGCAAGTTTTTATTTTTTTTTTTAATTAATTAATCGTAATTATCTTAGTACTTCTTTTCAGGACATCACATAAATTATCGCGCTTTATTTATTTTATTTAATATATATATATATATATATATATATATATTTTTTTTTTTTTGGAGACATCAAACATATATTTTTCATTAATATCTTTTGACTTGGACATTAAATATAATATCAAACCAATATAATTATATCGCCAGGAATAAATTCAATAAAAATAATAATAATTTGACACACTGGCAACAATTTATTCAAAATAATCAAATTTTTTATTTCGAATAAATTAATTGTTGCCAGTGTGTCAAATTATTATTATTTTTATAAAATATGATTTCTCATATTTTTTTTTAGGACTCGTTTGAATTTCTCGCTCTTAATTTCTGGACTGGATTAATTTATTTGGCGACTTGCCGGATCTTCTATTTGTTTGTGTTAGACTTTTGTGTTTTCCTTAATAAGTTTTTTAATCCGTAGTGCAAGAGGTAGTGCTCAAGGACACTCCAATCGAACTGAAAGCCTCGGAGAGCAGTTGTGCATGCTAAGTCGTCGTCGGCCTGTACGGTAGCAGGGTATCGAATCGAATCGAAAGGGGCCTTTGTTAATTCGACTGGGACCCCGAACCGTTCCAGACCGTTTTGGAGCGGTTTGGGAACCTCTTTCGAGAAACATAATTGATTTTCGAGGAAAATTCTTGAGAAGGGTTTAATTTTTCGATTTTTTTAAATTAGCAATTTGACAAGTAAATATTAAGTTATATTAATATTATTACATGTATATATATATATATATATATATATAATTAATATATACATATTAATATTATTATAATTAATATATACATATAATATTATTACATGATATATTAATATTATTACATGTGTGTATTACATTTAAAATTATATATAATTACAGAAATTCCTGTAATAATATTGATATATTATTATTAACTCAACAAAATATTATGATTTCTTCGAAAAAAATCGAGAAATTTTGTCTGAGAAGTTTCCTTAGGAAATTATACATAAGATTACATTATAATATATATTAAATATATAATTATTTTAATATTATTAATTTATTAATCTATTATCCTTTGAGATAATTCGGATGAAGGATATTCTATTTCCTTTCGATGCCCTGATTGGTAGATAAGACCGGAGCTAAGTTAACTTAATAATAATAAGTTAATGACTCTTATAGGACGTTAGGGTTACCGATTTGTATTTGGCCTGTGCTTTTTCGCGGAGTCGGAAAAACTCGTGGAAGGCTACGTGCACTGAACAGCAACGATTCTTATTAAAACACGAGAGAAATAGTTTGAACACACACAATATAGCTTAAGACTGCTTTTACACAATGACATGTTTTCGTATGCTAGCGAATTGTAGAAAGGACTGTTAATTCTAACGGTTTTGATTATTACCGACTATATGCATTTTTTGTTAGAATTATGGAGCAGAATTAATTCCTTATTTATATTTAAATAATTTTAATTTTAGTATTAATGAAATATAAAAATATTTTTTTTCACTATCGTCAATTTTGCTTCAATTTAAAAATTGACCGATATACATGTATAACATTTCGCAATCCGAAAAAAATATATATATTAATTTATCTTTAAATTAAAGCAAAATAAGAAGAGAGTGTTTTTTATATTTGATTATATAAAATAATATCAAAATTAAATTACATCATCAAATATGTTTAAATTTAGAGAAGATTAATTTGAGTTAAAAGATTATTATTTATATTAAAGTTTGCGCTTTAATTTACGAGTTTATTAATGTATTAATACCGCTTCATTTTTATTACGTATTTGATATAAAAAGGCAAATGTATACAATTTTATTTCATCTATTATAATTTTTTTCATTTAGTCGAAATCAAAGCTAGGAGGATTAATACAGTCCTGATTAAGGTCTCAAAGTTCATTTAAGTTTATTTCATTTGTTGATAGATTGTTTAATATCGTACAGTATTTTTTACTCGTGTAATTAAATATTAATTAAACATCGATAGTTGCTCAAATTCACTCGATTAAACGAATGATAATAGGAAAATGGCATTTGTCGTATTCTTGTTCGTCGTTTCTAAGAACAAGATATTATTAATTGTCCTACATTATTGCAATAAAAAATGAGACAGCTGCAATTTGCATTTAAGATATTAACAACGTTTGTATTAATTTGGAGATTACGAATTGTAGAGTAAACATGTTGAGTAAATGCAGTCCTCATCTTCGAGATAATTGAACCACATTTTTCAAAAAAAGATCAAAAAAGTTTTCATGGTTAATAATACATAAATCTTTGCTCTATCTAATGTTAAAAAAAGATATTACAGCTAAATCGCAATATATTAATTATTAATCTCATCAAACTAAATCTAACTAAATAGACAAATTTTTGTTAACAAAAATTTAAAAAAGACGAGAAAAGAAAGGTAGAAAAAAAGGAAAAATATTTAAGAGAAATTTTTCTACGGAATTTGTGGATAATTAATTAGCAGCTAACTATATCTTTTTTCTACAAATATTTTAAGAGTACGTAGCATAAATGACAATCTCCTGTACAGTTCCACATTTATTCGAGGTATATTAAATTTTCTTTTATTATTTATGTATTTTGTTGGATTAACCTAATTTTGTTTAGAAAGTAAAAAAGAAAAAAAATTTCTGTTCAAAATTATATATAAAAATATCATCAGTAAATTTTAAGATGTATATAAAAAAGATTTTTTATTTCTAAAAAATTATTGTTTAAAACAATTCGTTTTAATCTCTTTTTGTTTAGTCTCTTTTGTAAAAGATTTCTCTGCTTATTTCAATATTTTAATTTATGTAAAAAAGAAACCTTGATAATATAAAAGAAATCTTATGTGAAATTTTATTATTTTTTATATTGGTTCTTTGTCTATTTTTAAATTTTTCCTTATGTCCCCATCTTTATTTTTATCTTTATTCTTTAATCTATCTCTCTTAAGAGAATATATTTATTTTTTTAATTTTATTTTAATTTATTTATTTTTGCTTGTGCTTGGCTTGCTGATTTTTTCTCCAATCATTTTTAAATTAAGATGCTACAAGAAGTCATTAAACATAATTATCAAAACATATTTATAAGAAAAATTAATATAAAAAGTTTTGTGATTCTAAAAAAATTAAAGAGGATATTCTCGTTTTTGCATTAAGTTTGAATTAATAACATATTGTAATTTATAAAAAATTTATTTTAAATATTAAATTAAAATTAATTTCTAGACAAATTTTAATTAAATTCTTTTAAATCAAACTTTGTATTAATTTTATCAACGTTTATATATTTTTATTTTATTCCTGTGATATATATCTTGTGATATATATTTTCTCTCTTTTTACACGATTCGATACCTTAAGAAATTCACATAATAAGTAGCGTTAGAAAATATTCTCCGTCCCGTTTTTGACTTTTATACACTTCTCGATTGTCACATCTTTTAGCTTGGATAGAAATTAAACTCGCGATATTGTAATAATATTAAATCTGTATTCTGATGAGGGAGATTATTAATTGAAAGGAAATTAAAATGGCAAGCTGATTATATCGATTTGGCAACTATAATTACCGAATAATTATTAGTAGGTGAATATCTAGAGATTTGATTAATAACTAAAAAAATCACTACAATTCGTCATTATTGTAGTATCATTAAGGATTACACTGTATGTACTCTTTATCTGGTTTGTAAGAGCTCATTGTAATGCCTCATCAACGCAGCATTAATTAAGTTTAAGATACAACTAATCAAATGTTTACAAAGTGCAATAATGTATTTATTGACCAATAATATTGCCAAATTGCAAAAATTGCATTAGTTTTCTGACAATTTATTTCTCGAAACACATTTTCCTTCTATATTGGCACTTAAATACGAACATGTGACACTAATCAAAAATATCAAAAATATGTATATTAGAATATATATAATTAATTATTACTATTTAATTAATTTTTTAATGTACATACATATATAGTATATACGATTTAATTCGCAAATTTTGAGAAGGGACGCGTCTCGAGAGGGGGAAATGAAATTGTCAATTGATCACAGAACGTGAGTTGAAAAATGCTGCACGCCTTAACACACAAAAAACAGCTGTCGACTTGCAGAATCAGTCGCCGATGCAGAACGGGTCCGAGTCGGAGGGCGAGAGTGGTTGCATCTGCTAGGGAGCTTCGTCGAACTGTACCCCGGAAGAGAGAAGAGAGCCGGAAAAATTGGTTGCAGTCAATCTCCCGGCACGAGATCATCAAGCCATTGGGAGACGCTGCTGTTGGCTTCTTCTGATGTCGTTTAAGGGAACAGAGAGAGAGAAAGAGAGAGCCCCCCTTCGGCTCTAAGTATCGTTTCAAGTGCTACTAGACAAACTCGAGCGATATTTAATAATAACTAGCTAACTTACGTTTGGCTTCGTGCGAGAGGAAGGAGATCGCATCCTTCGTCAGGGTATTTCTATATTTTTAAGCTTGAAACGGTGATAGCTGATGCGAGATCCACGTAAAGTCCTTTGCTTCCTTCAATCCTTCTGTCAGTGCATATTTTGTTCACTTTGCAATGTATGATTTTTTTGCGTTATACAGGGTGTAACTAAACGAACAAATACGAAGCACACCATCAGGTGCAGGACAACAAACTAAGTCGAAAAGTCCTGAGCCATTTTTTAATTCGAGCTTTATTTTTGACGCTATGAATTGTTAAAGTTGACCAATTAGCGCGTGGCTACAACGAAAAACAACGTAGACCCCGCCTACTAGGGCGGCGCCTACGCTGTTTTCCACGCGCTAATTGGCCAATTTTAACAATTTATAGCGTCAAAAATAAAGCTCAGATTAAAAAATGGCTCAGGACTTTTCGATTTAGTTTCTTGTGCTGCACCTGATGGTATGCTTCGTATTTGTTCATTTAGTTACATCCTGTATATTAGGATGTTACCGAATTTAAAGGTTCTTTGATTTTTGTGCCGAGCAATAAAAAATTTTAACGCGTTTAGAATTGCTTTGGGTACTCGGGTTCATCACTCCTGAAAATTAATCCTTTCTCTTTCGCGCATCTAATTATATATTTTTTTCGTTAAAATAAAATTACAGGTGATAAATTTTGTATTAACTAACATTTTATAATTGTATTACAGATAATTATTATAAAAGTACAACCGCAGCTTTATATTAGTTAATGTATAGTTTTATATATGTATAAAAATTATTATTGAATTTGATTATTAAGAATTCACACAACTGAATGTTATATTAATATCAGCTGATTGACGCGAAAAGAGCTAAAGAATCATGCAGTGGTGTTTTTATGATAATCACCAGAATTTTCAAGCAATATCTTTTCTGATGAATTTTACATATCATGATTCTTACGAAAAGTGTTCTTCCCAAATCTTTGAGATTATCTATCTTTTATCTACAGCGATGGATTAATCGTAATCATTTTTAAGTGAAATTTTTGATTTAAGAAAATTAAATTTTGCAAAAAAACATTTTATTAATATAATATTGTATTTTTTATTTTTTATTAATATAATAATAAAATAAAATACAATCTTCAATTTAAAATTGAATTTCAAAAATTTAGTCTTTAAGTTAAGTCTTATTAAAGTAAAAATAAATTTAATCTACAGAGAAATAAATAATACAATATAGGTATATTGAAATTATCATAAAATAATTTTTTATATTTACAATATACATTACGATAAATTTATTATAATATATAATATAAATTTATTATATAATATAATTATAATAATTTTATTTTTCTTTAAATTGCAAAATATTAACGATTACTTTATTAAAGATCGGCTGGATTATTATTATATTCGATGAACAAAATCGCTGTAGAAAAAAGATAAACTTATCCGTGGAAATCAGCAGCTACATCCTTTCAAGTTTAAGCACATTATCTCTTCGTTCGGAGATCCTGTATGTAACTAAAAAAAAAAATAAACGCGCACAAAACACCGAAGCTTGCAAAAGGATAGTTCGTTTGTGTAAAGAAAAGAGGAAGGAAAAAACACACCGAAGCTTGCAAAAGGATAGTTCGTTTGTGTAAAGCAAAAAGGGAAGAAGAAAGAGAAAAACACAAGGGAAGTGTAATGACTGAAAGTAAATCATCGGTGGAGTTAATTAAGTCGCTATACAACTAAGCTAATTACGATGAGTTCGCGAGTTTCTCAAGGACAGCACGTTTATCGAAGCAAAGTGCGTTGTTTGTTCGAGGATATATTTCTAATGTACCGTGTATTACGAAACTTTATAGACGTTTTTCGATATCTCTTGATAATAAGCGACTCTACTTGATAACGAGATTCAAGTCTGTAGGCCGACGGTGGATACGCAAGTGTGCACAAACGACCAAACTCACTTAACTCGATCTTTCTATTTTTTTATATATTATTCTAGGCCGTCATCTTCTCCGAAATCTTGTAATATCCCTGAATATCGATTTTGAATTACCTTGGAAAAATGATACGAGAAACTACAAATCGTCTGAGGAAATGTCTGATTGTAAGAAGTTATTAATTCACATTTCAATTATGTGAATGAAATTTAGGAATTTAAATTATTATAACAACTTTTAGTTCATAACATTTACATGATATATATATAGAAAAATATATGCGAATTTAGATTATCGATATCCATAAATTCAGGTTTTTTAAACAATTGATTAATATATAAACGATATATACATATGTAAATATAAAATACATCTAAATTAGTTTTAATAAATTTCAGTAAACTTTCAAGAAATCAATTATTAAATTGAATTGGGATTATTCGTAATGTTTGGCCGTTTGTACAAAAAAAAAGAAATGCCTATACGCCAAGAAATGCTATTATACGCCAAACGTAAACACTCGTCGAATATTTCTCTAGAAGATGATTAATCGAAGCTTGTCGGGGAAAATAAATTATTAGCCGTGCTTGACGCGAGATCTTTACAAACCTTAGTAACTAACGTTTCTATCCCTTTGCACTCAAAGATCGTTTAATTACGACAGATTTCTTTATTTTAAATACATATATAAATATAAAAATTATATATATTTTTATAAATTATTTAATAGCATATATTTCATTTTTTATTTGTATTTAGAAAATGCAATAAAATTTAGAGTTACAAAATTAATAAAATATTTAATTGACTTTGTTCTCGAAATGCAAAAAAAATAGGAATTTTAAAAAATTTTTTAGTAATGAAACAAATTGTTAAAAAAATTGTATATATAAAATTAATTTTGAAGAATTTGAAAAAAAAGAAAATTTATTATAGTGCAAATGGATGGATGCGCGAAAATGTTTCTCTAGCCAGCTCTTATATAACATGTCATGTAGCGTTAATCCGACAGTGTCGCACAGCAATATTGAGTATGTATCGCGAGATGGTTTTTTCGAGCACTATTTCGAGGCAACACATCCGAGGACGAATCTAGCAAGTTTCACAATTAAATTAGGGAAGATGTGAAGACACTCAATTACTTTCACGCGAAGCTTCATCGTAATCATCACCCGTGTGTATGTTAAATTTGTATGTTACTGTGATTATGATTTGTTAGCACAAATATAATATAATGATCCAACGTTGACGAATCAATCAATCATCTCACCATCAATTTAGTTCCATTTATTGTATCGATGTAATAAATAATTAATATGTAATAACACGTTACATACTAATTAATTAAATATTTTATTTTTTTGTATTAGTTTTTGTAAAATTTATTAAATTTTATTGAATGGATTTACTGAAAATTAAACGATTATAAAGTCAATTATATATATATATATATATATATATATATCATTTTGATTTAATAATTAGATTAATTAAGAGTAATTTTTGGATTTTTTCATCAGATTTCGAAAATACATTTTTAAATTGATCTGTAACAAATTATTTTGGTGGCATAAAATTCATTTTGATCGTAAAAAAATTCTTAACATTTTTTAGATTCAAAAAAATAAAACTGCTTTCTAAAATATATTTTTAGACGCATTTCTGATTTATTTTGTAGCAAAAGACATTTGTCCGCAATAATAATTTAAAATCACAAAGAAATGAAAAGTCAATATAAAAGAAGCTAATGAATTTTTGTAAACGTTTATATATAAATACATTAAGTATAAAATACGGTGTGCGACTTTTGCAAAAATTATAGTTATTGAAAAGAATTGATGGAACTGAAAAAGAGTTGCGGACAATGTTTTTCTTGTAATGTAACTGATTGTGAGATAAGTAAACCAATGTAGCCGATCTAGTCGAAATGATCGTCGTGTAACGAATCGGACGGCCCCACTTTAATTGCTCATTAATTAATTGATATTTGACTGCCGTAAATATTAGCCTTTTTGGCAAATACATTTTTTGTATATCTATATATAATTAAGAAATATTAAATATTAATTCTTTCTTTTTTGCAATTTAAAATAAACAATTAGTTGCTTTTGAAATTAAATATTAATAAATTTATAATGAATTTTTTGAATATTTTTATTAAAGAATTAGGGGGTTTTCATTTAATAATGAAATTAATATTAATTTTGTCAAAATATTTATTTTTTTAATAATAATACTATTTTGATTTAACACATTAATATTATTATTTAATATAGATTTAATATCTGCTATAGTGCTGAATGAAACTTGATAACGACAGTTAGCTTTAATTAGACTAATCGGGATAAAAATTAAGAAACGAACGTTCCGGCTAGACCGAAACCTTAAGTGCATTTACGGTTCTTATTGTATATTATAAAGAAAATATATATAAATATTTCAATAATAAACTCTCTTTGTTATAGAAGTACATAGTTTGCGAGGCGGAATGGAGAGGAACGGTTATTGCTTTTGAGCGCTTTTGTTATTGTTTCTTGTTTGCTACATATATATATATATATATATATATATATATATATATAGAGAGAGAGAGAGAGAGAGAGAGAGCAAGATTGTAATCAAGTAGCGACTACAGAGGATTATCGTTTCAGCTTTCGTGGCAGAAGTTGTAGTTGTAGGAAATACAGATTGTATGTTATTGTAAAGCAGGAAACAGCAGAACAAGTTTTGTGCGCATATAAACATTTTCGTTCGTAAACGAATCACGATCAGAGGAACGAAAATTATATAAATTATTAATTATATTAAAGTTATATAAAACAGAGTAGCAGTTAACTCAAAACTTATAATAACAAGAAATAAGCCATTGATTTACATCTGCTTAAATGTAAATTGCATGTGCGTGATTGTGTTAATATTATTTATATATATATAAATATTATAATATATAATATTTTATTATATATTTTATAATATATAATATATATTATAATATATATATTGCAGATTTCACTATAAAATTCCAATATAATATTTTAATTTTCCTCTTATTATTACAATTCCATATAAGTTTTGAAAATTTATTGACAATTTGAATTTTGTACATGTTATTTAATTTTGTAAAATTTTCCATAGTATATGTCAACTTATATCACGTCGTTTTTAATTAATAATTTTAAATAATAATAATAGAATGAGTGATTTTGCTTTTAACTGCTTTAAAAGGAAACTAAAAACATCTCTGATCGTATAAGATTCGTTTGTCAAAGACAAAGAAACTAATCTTTGTATCTTGTGTCTTGGATAAAGTCGTCTTAGTCCGAATCGAGGTTCGTGAAAAAAAAGTTTTGCAAACTTGTCGTAACATGGTATCGCGAGTATTTAAACTGTAGAACTTTAATAAATGAACGAATAAAAGTTTTACGTTAATCAAATAATTACGCGCATGTTTACTCTGTCCAAAAAATCTTGTGAGCTACCAAGCTTTACTTGTTCTAACAACCTCGCAAACCCGAAAATTCTAACTTTGATGAGAAATTTTACACGTCTGTAAAGGGAATAAATATCTGAATTTAAAAATTTTTAGTTGCAGTCCGAAACAAATTTAAAGAGTAAATCATCTTTCATATGTAAAGCGATTTTTTTCGTAATTTATCATGAAAATTACTCGAGATGTAAAAAATATTGTGATAAGAACACTAACCACATTTAACACAATTTTGAAAAAATAATTATTTTAGAAATTAAAAAAATATTGTTACATAAATTTAAATTTCATTAATGGCTAAAAATAGTTAGACTCGGATGTGTTAATAGAAAGTTTCAATAGAAAATTAAATATTTTTAAAACTGATTAATTATGCAGGGTACATATTTTTTCTAATTCAATATCAAATAATTAAATTAAATCTTAGTTCGAGATTATATTTTAATAAATCTCTCTAAAGAAGTATAGTTAACAAAAATATCAAGACAAAGTGTTTAAATCTGGATTGCTTTGCTTTCTAACAATATAATATATGTGAACGATGCAGCAACACACTGTTTACACTTTCTTGTCTTTGTTTACAAACATAACAAAGAGCGTGAAACTGTGTGCGAAAATGTTGAAATATGCAAATAATATATTATACAGTAATAAATTTCTATCATGTAATATGCATAAGATGTGTTGAGAATATTTGAATTTATATTTCAACAAATCTATTCTTTTGAAAAATAATTATTAAAATTAAATTATTCAAATAGTATTTAGATAAAAATATTCGTATCGATACAAATCGATTGTATATAAATTATTTATATCGATCTTTTTGTGACCCGATAAGACCGAGGATTTTAATTTTCGAGAAAGGTTGGATTGAGAGGTAAGATTAGTTTATTATATAGTTTATTGTAATGTCAATTATATACAAATTTAAAATTACGTCCAGTGTGCTTCCGACTACGCTGACATACCGTTTCTCTTTTCCGTCTTTTTCGTGCAGTATTATTACAATCGGAGCTATTCTTAAGCTCCTCCGGTGCGCCTCTTCACTTCGTTAACAGCGCGTCAGCGACAGACTTAAGCTTAATTAATCTTTATTTACAGTCGAAATCGCGCTCGAAAGTCCCTTCAGTAGTCTGTCGCCGATTTAGATTTGTGAGAAACCTTTGAAAATTGAACAACTTCAAATTTAATTCTCTTTATCCTATAATTAAATAATTAAAGAATATAAAATCGCGACGAGTGATATTGGATATTAATGAAATTATAATTTGAAAAAATAACATTCACAACAAAAGTTTGTTTAATAATAATAATTATTATTATAAAGTGATCTATAGTTAATTCTCATGCGAATGCCAGCCTCGCCCAGTTTGATTAAATTTGCAGTTGTTCTATTTCTTGTATCGCAGTAGCTTTTCGTCCTCGAGAATTCTGGCTGATCGCAATTTTTCATTCAACGATCCGCAATTTTTTCCTCGAATCGCGATCGTTTGGCAGTATACTGTTGAAGTATCGTCGATCATTTGATTTCTCTTTTTATTTTTATTGTAAAAAAGATTGTTCGATTGTTGCGCGATCGCCCGCTTAACCCTTTTATTCTCAAACATTTAATATACCTAGTCTGCAAAGCTCTTCATTATGATTTAATTTATATTATATTTCGCGACGAAAAAAGACAACGGAGTATCTTGTGCAATAATTAGAGAAAATTATTATTACAAATTAATAAAATTTCTGCAGTGTTGAAGGTAAATTTATTTATTATGACAATGTCAAATTTTATATGATAGCCGCGTAGAGAAGGAAAGGGTTAATTCACATTTTGATTGAGCACGATTGAACGATCGACGTCGTAGAAATAAATCATCATGGCAGCGATTCGAATCATAATCATGATCATTTCTTTTACAGATGTGTATTGTAAATTTCTCATTATCTCTCGGAAGAAGAGGATAGTATCGGCACGACTCAAATCGACTCGAACCTTCAGTCTATATTATGTGGACAGACAATGAAAAAGAGAGAAAAGATCAAATATAAATATGTTTATGTATAAAATAATATTGATAATTTTATCTAAAAATTATTTAAGCAAATTAAATAATTAATATTCAAAAAACATAAAAAAGGTCAATATATGATACTATATAATCTTTTAATAACATCCACACTTTGAATTCTTAAACATAAAATTAAAAATATAAAATGAAATAAGAAAGGATAAGATAAACGATAAAAAGTAAAATAATATAAATTAATTACATTATTTATAATTAATTATTATATATTATTTAATCTATAGTTAATATAAATTATTAGTTAATTTATAAAAATGTGTAACAAAATGTAATAATACTAGCTCACGCGTTATATTAGTAAAAATTAATACTGACTGGGTACATGAAAAATTCTTGGAATCATTCTCGGAAAGTTTACTCCAAAATTCTCTTTTCTCAAAGGTGAAGAGTTATATTTAACGCAGATATTTCGTCAAAGATTAGGTGATTTTCGGCAGTTAGTCGCACAAATTCGAAAGGTAGAAAACGATAACAGTATAGCGTCGCCTCTAACACAGAGGATGGGCGATAGCGAGCGGAAGTTTCTGGATCTTCTCGGATCCCGAAATGTCTTTTCCTATAGGCTTTGTACAAAAGCCTATTTAGCGATGAATTTGACTTCCGGGCGCAAAATCTCAGCTACGCCATCGCACACTAACACGCACCGTCTCGCGTAACAATAAAGATCCTCTTCTCATTTAACTTTTATTTCTCCTCTTCATCACTTCCTATCTATCGACGAAGTCACGATCGTTTCGAGAAAAACTTTTTAAAGAGTCGTCCCCGTTCGCCGTCGAGTGTCACAACATCTTAATCTCCTCCGTTGCATCTTCTCCTCGGGATTCGCAACTAGACCGATGACGAAAACAACACCGGACAACTTTGAAAAGTGATTTCCCAACTCCCGACGGTTTCAGAAGTCTAACCTAAAAGTTTGGGTATCCATGCATTAGAGCCCCTCGGTTCTCGTGCTTCTTCGTGATCCGAAAAACGATCATGTTCCGCCATCGAGGACAATGAGAACTTCCTTCTTCGAAATATAGCGATGCTTCGACGATCGGTGATTTCGGAAGATTTCTAATCTACTCGCGGCCAATATTAATTCATCGGCCGCGCCGACTCCTAAAGTCAGACCCTCAGCTCTTCCATGACCTGGGGATGATTGTGTCCCTTCTTTAAGGTCCCGGTGCCGCTCATGGCCAAGCTCTCCTGCTGAAGCTGATTGGGACTGATGATGAGGTTCTGACCGGGTTTGCCGGGCTTCGTGTTCTTGGGTGGCGGAGGCGGCATAGGCACGTGGCAAGTATTGTTCTGGAGGTCAGCGAACTCTGGCGGCGGTATGTGCTGGATGTGATGGCGTTCGGCAGTCTTGGTCTCCAGCTCGCCGCAGATGTTGTTCGGCATTTGACCGTTCTCTTGGCGCTTCTTCGAGCAGCCCTGATGCTGGTGGTTGCTCTTATCCCGCTGGTAGTACACCCCGGCGAAGATGAGGACGTTCAAGATCAGCAGGCTGCAACCGATCGCGATCGTCACGCTCAGGGCTGTGGAATAAGCCGCGAAACCGTCCTCGGGCTGCGCCGTCGTGTCCTCGAAGGTCATGTCGCTGGGCGTGGCCGTCGACACATTAGACGAGGATTTCTCCATGGAGGTCACTTCCAACGTGGTCGTTCTCGCGGTTGTTGGCAGTCTCTGGATGACTCTGGGTGGCACCTGGACAACGAGATATTTTTCCTCAATTTTCAATTCGAGTTTTTAACCGGAGAATTTTTTAACCGGAATATGATCATCTAAAAGTATATTAGAAAGTTTGATTCCTTTAAAAACTTTATTATATCTTATTTTTTTTTAATTAATAGTTTTTAAGGGGATGCTGCCGGTGTTCTGTTTTACCGACTTTAAGTTAGGTTAGGTTCACTTTTTTTATTGAATATACAGATTGAAATATCCTCCACAATAAAAGTACTGATAATAATGAATGGGGAGCACTGTCTGGCAACTAATTTTTGTTATTTTGTACCTCGACATTGATTCCACACGCAAATATACATACATAATTAATTCAAGTGCGAATACTTTTGATACAGGCTTTTAATCTCATTTTTATTACTTCTGTATTATTCTTTCATGTCATTATTTTATTGGGAGCGTCATATTTTGTGCACAAATAAACTGCAGAACTTTTGTATTAAATAAGTATTATTATGAGCTGATGCAAGAGGCCGACAAAAAACTGTAATTTTTTAACTTTTATTGTTCTTTTATACAAAATTACAGCACTTCTCATTCATTATTATTAGTACTTTAATTGTACAGAAAGATTTTTCAATCTGTATAGCCAATAAAAAGAAAAACTCTTGAACTCAAAGTCGGTAAAACAGTCATGGTCAGCATTTCTTTAAGGGGATCCTAAACGTCTTTGAGTTTCAGTCCTGTTTTATCGACAAAATGTCAAGTTAAATAAACTATAAATCTATTTATTGGCTATACGAATTGTGTTTTACCTGAAATTAGAGCGCTTTCACATTTGTTAATATTAATACTTTAATTTATACAGAAAAAAGATTTATTAATCTGTATAGTTTTATATATTTAGGTTGAAGAATTATGAATTCTTTTTGATTTGACAGTTTGATAAATCTTTTTCCTATACAAAAAATATTAATATTAACAAATGTGCGGAAGCGCTCTAATTTCAGGTAAAAAACAATCTGTATAGTCAATAAATAAATAAATTTATAATTTATCTAACCTCGCATTTTGTCGATAAAAGAACTAAAAGTCAAAGGGACCTTAAGGGAATCCTAAACGCCATCCAAAAATTTTAATTTTTAAATTAAACAAATTTTTTGCTTTTAACATAAAATCGGTAAGTTTGTTTCTACATGTACTTTTATCGCGGAAAAGCATTTATTATTCTATTCAAGCAATAAAAAGAAAAAAGTACGCAAAAATGATGTTTTAACTTATCGATAAAACAGGACGGCGTTTAGAATCCCCTTAATTGGTACATTAATTTTTTAATTAGGATGTAGTACCTGTTCGGCGTCAAGCAGATGATGTGACCTAGGAACGTCGTCCGTGCCAGGTTTGTGAAGGTCAGGAACCAAATTTAGCCAAAAGGAGAGACGATGGGCCCTGTAGTGGTTCTTCAACTTCGACTTGAGTTCTAGAAAATTGACAGGATATGATATACATATTTTCTAATCAAGAATTTTGATATATAAATACATTATAATGAATATTTTAAATAAAAAAGAGTTATATAAAAATACACAAAAAATTGCTCGAATAAACAGATTTCTAAAAAAAAATATTCGATGTATCCATAAACATTTTTAAAGAGAGAGCATTTCCTGCTGATGTAAGAGAGATATTAGGGGTGAAACGTCTTACACTGACCTATGCTAAGATATTTCTTATGGACGGCCTCGTAGGCAATCCAATCGATATTCTTGACCTTGGTCCTTTCCGGTCTGGAGCCGAGGGGTCCAAGATCGGGAGTGCCCTCGTTCGGATTTCTGACAGTCGAAAACGATATCATTAGAATAATGGCTCGACGAAGTTTTTATCGTATTTCGCGGGCGTTTCTCACCTTCATACTTTATTTTACGACTTACCCGGTGCGTGCGAAGTTTGTCAGATAAAGTATGACGCTCTCGGAGAGAGCTATCTCGGCTCTGGTGTAATTCTTTGGCCAGTGGGACAGGCCTCCCACTAAAGGTGACCCGAAAAAATACGGCAGCTCCTCCCCGTGAATGCATCCCGGCCTCTATAATAAATAACAGTGATTGATTAAAATTATTGTTATCAAAAAATAAAATAGAAATAAGGTAATAAAATATAAAACGTAAGAAGTGAAATTAAATATAGACGTAAGTGAAGATGAAATAAAAATTTAATTTTGTTTTTCTATACATTAAAAACAATTTTTATTTTCATCTCAATATTTTTGCATAATTATAAATCATATTTCAGGATTGTAGGACGCAAGATGAAAAATCTCATGTGTTAGTCGACTCGAGATAATTCCGCGACCTCGCGTTTATAAAGGTTCAATCGACTGGTTCGACCAAGGCGTTGACCGGACTGACCGCGGAATTCAAGAGAATTTTTCCGGAGGGGCCTCTTTCGCGTTCGATCATACGAAAGCACTCATGGAATCTACCGGGGTCCTGCCATTTCTTGTTGAGATTGTAAAAATGCCTCGGCCGATTTCCCTTTACGTTCAATTTTAACGAGCTTGAGCCCTGGAGCAAAACTCGAAAAAATTTGAATCACGTGAACTTGCCGCAAGCTTCTATCAATACATAATTTTTTTTTATCTTTCCATCAATATACGGACAATCGGTGTTTTGACAAATGGCATTCCGTTAATATTTTTATTTGTCATCCTTTTTAAAAATATCCATTTATTCATCTGCATTTTTAAAGAGGATGTCATGAGATTCCTTGATCCTCGCGAATTTTTCAGATTTCTGTCAATGCATAAATTTTCTTATTCACGAATATATGGATACTATAGAGTATTTACTACGTATTTTCGTTTCATATTTCACTGCGTTAATTTTTTACCAGCTGCTGCGCCGTAAAATATTCTTTCTTGGTTATATTTTAGAAGGTTTCTGAATACAAAAGCTTTTTGCACTTTGTTTTAGAGCGGAGAAAAGTTTCGACTTAAAATTTTTCAACATTTAAAGTTACTTCTGGTATATACTCGGGATCATTGAAAGCGGCCTCTTAGAGGCCATTTCGATTGAAAATCAGAACTAAAATATGAAATACATAATGAAATAATGATTACCGAGAGTGATAAATTGAATTGATAGTCCACGTTAACAGCAATTTGTTGTTCGCGTTGCGAATATCGAGTAAAAGCAATAATCAAGTTGTAATTAAATCATCATTCGTTAATCGGGAAATAATTGCGCCTCGATAAATTAACGTGTGTATGCGATATACACATATATATACATATATATATATATATATATATATATATATGTATATTACAATACCTCGCGTTTCACGCTTATCGATAAGTTATTAATTAAAACGCGGAACGCGCGCAAACAACAGATTTCTTTTTGCAAAAAAAAACGTATCATTAGGAATATCTCACTCGTTTCTCGCGCAGGGAGATATTAGCGAAAAAAACGTTCACCGCGGTAAGAGAGGCGCTACTAAAGCAAAACAAATATGGCCGCCGCGAATATACAACAACAGTTTTAAGTGTAAAAATTAATTTTTAATGAAAAAAATGTCATTGCGACTAGACACACTCTGTGATTATACAAAAGCTACGTCTTTATCAAGAAATATGACCGAAGGCCAGAATGTTGTAAAATTCCGGCATGATTATTATGTGCGGTGTAACTATGAAAAGTCAAGAAAGAATAGATTTATATTCCTTATGTCTACAAATAAGTGCCGTGACATCAGAATCTCATGTGATCACTCATGTGGAACATTATTAATTAATTTTTCCAATAATAATAAGATAATGTATTAGATGTATATTCGCGACGGCCATTTATGATAGTTCACGCGATCACCGCCAGTGTCGCATTGTATTTTTAAGTTCCGAATAGAAAAAGAAATGCGCTTTCGCGTTTAGAGCGAATGCATCGAGCGATTTCCCGAAATGTTTTTCCGCATGCAATCGTAGCAGCCTGCAATAAGTTTGTTGCAAAAACGTTTACGCGCGATCCTTATTTTCCGAAAGGGACGAAGGAGGGCGCCACGCGCGTTGAACGTTTAATGCACTTTCATTTCGCCGGTTGACGGCAACGGTGATCGCTGGGTCGAGGTGCCAGACGATATTCGTATGCAAAGTGCATCGGGTGTAAGGCGCAAAAGGTGCCGGCAGAAATGACGGAGAGAAAGAGAGAGAGAGAGAGAGAGAGAGAAGCTGGAAGCTGCAGGTGCTTGCGAGGCGAACGTGGAATTTCAAATTCGCTCTCCGCGTTCGGGCTTCCGTAAAATTGTACCTCTCTCTTTTCTCTCTACGGTTGTTTTTTTTTTTTTTTTTTTTTATTTTTTTGAATTTACGAGACGATAGATATGAAGGTGATAATTTATTCAGAAATTTTTTTCCTCTTGCATCTTTCGAGAAAAAGATCGAAGGAAATTTTTATTATTTCTTCTCTCGCGAAGGAGAAAGAGAGAGACTTACATTTTGAAGCCTTATACGTATCTCTATATACATTCACGTCGCGTATCTTATCTGTTCCATATGTATGCGGGATGCTTGGATAACTAAAATGTGCTACACAGAGCATCGCTAATATATGCATCAGAAACACATGTTCGAGATAATATCTCGAAATTTCGTGCAACGGTAATAACTAGTCTCATCGTCGCGATGCAATTTTCGAATTTCCCTTCACACATCCGTTTCTTGTTACGGAGAACCTCCAGCGGGAGAAACGGAAGGGTGGCGATGTGGAGGAAGAGGGCGATACTGCTAATATATGTGGCATTAATAATCGCGGTACCAAAATTCATTCGAAGTTCGAAACTAGGAACTGGCAAAAGGAAAGGGAACGGAGGAGGGTTGTTACGCTCCTCATAAGTTTCTGAAATCAGATACGCGAGCAAGAGTCACCGCCATGCTGCACCGCATTTCCGGTGAATCCTAACTTCCGCTTTCGTCGTGTGTACGAGTAATGCAGGTAATAGATAACTTGAATAAATAAGTGAAATAAAATATAAACCGGGGCTATACAGAGATAAACTATAATATTTTATTTTTACTTCGTTAATTTTGTTAATGGAATTTTTGATGAATATATATATATCTCTATCTAGCCGCGAGATATTTTTATCGTGTTTAAATCCAATTACGACAAAACCAATATTTATCGCATAACAGGAGTGCCTGTAATTTAAAGGGGAGAATTCTAAATTAAAAAATTTTATATATTAATAAATATATACATATAAAAAAACTATTACTATAAATATCATTATAAATATATATATATAAAATATATTTAAATACATATAATATATATTTTATATATGAATAAGATATAAAATATATATGTGTATAATATCTATATATCTCCCTATCTAAATCTATATGTATCTTCTCTCTCTATCTCTCTCTCTCTCCCTCCTACTCCTCTCTCCCCTCTATATGTATATATATATATCTAAATAATCTCGAAATCCTATATCCTATCTAAAATATATAAAAAATATATATATCTCCCTCTTAAATATCTTTGAATATTTACACAAATGTCTTATTTTTCTCCTTGTAGCGTCTCGAGATTCTTTCGCTTCCCTCTTATTCTAGCTTATTCGATAAAATATTTTCTCGGCTGATCACAAACCTGAGGATAGTCTCCAAATTTCGTTTGATAGTCGAAGACATATAGATAGGAATTCCTATGGGATTGGCTGTGAAGATCCGCGGTTCTCGTCGCCGGAGCGACGGTATTCGCGTCCCCCAGAGCCTCGAGGGTCTCATCTCTGAAACAAAATAAATAATCCGTTTTTGTTGGAATCTTCATAATATACTTCAAATACCTCTCAAGCGCGTTCGTCAAAAATAAATTTAAAATTGATAAAAAGTTGTAGTTGAAATATGTTTGGAAAAATTTATAACTGTACTTCTCTCGAATACTTCTGAAATGTTCATGAAAAGTAAATTTAAAATGGACAATAAAAAATTGCGGTTAAAATATGTCTGGCAAATTTAAGATCTGTATATATGCATTTTTATAACAAACAGATTGTTAATATTAATTAAGATAAAACAAATTCTATTAAACATTAATTTAATTTTCTACTTAATTTTTTTTATTTAATAATTATATTAAATAGCATTTTTTTATTTAATAACCATATTAAATATGATATAGATAAAAACGCGAATAATCTCGTAGAAGAGTCAAATTAAATTGGCATATAACTGAACGCAGCGGTGAGATTCATTTGCTGTTAATGCAACGCATAAATACTAATGATGATTAATTAAGAGCATAAATAAATAACGATAATTGAAATAAATGATAGAGAGTATATTTGAATTTTTATTGTCAATTAAATATATTTCTCCGGAAATTCACCTGATATTGACGGGATGCTGGACAGGTCGCTCCCAATCCGTGTATTCGTTTATGATGGTCGCCAAAATCTCCGGCTGATGATACGTGTACGTGTTTCGCACGAACTCCCGCAGGATCCTCGTCCTTCTGTCGGCCTCGATCCCGTATTGAGCGTCGTCGGCGGTTAAAGAAAATACGCCTCCGAACGAACGACTCCCACCATTAGATCGTACCTGCAAATTCGCGGGACCATCTTGTTTCACGCTCACATAAACACGCAGGAAGAATGAAAAGATGTTCCATGAAATATTAACAAGTTCGCAATCTGTAAGACATTTTAGGGCATACAAGTTCTCTCCGAAGTATATGAAAAGTTTCCCCGAGATACGAGAAGTTTCTCTTCTAGCCTTAGGAGCCCTCGGTTTTCTTCAAAAATCACATTCCCGTCTGCGCGACACTCCAATGTGTCACTCTTCATTTTATGAGATATTTATGTCATATGAGATTTTTGCTTTCAGGATAATTAGAAAGTTTCCAAAAATATATATTAAAAAATATGAATAATATATGCAGGGTGTAAGTAGTAGAGAGAAAAAGGTAAAAATTAAGTTTTTATTTTTTTTCTCGAATTCTTCAGACAAATTAAAAAATGAAACTCGGTGGATATTTTTTACTAATAAAAAGGATATTTTTTTTATCTATTTAAGTTTTTACCAGGAAACTTTAACCGGAATATGATTATCTAAAAATATGCGTTAGAAAGTTTGATTTCTTTAAAAAACGTTATTAAGCACGCACTCCCTGTTTCAAAAAGTGTAATTCTTCGAGGAAGGATATAAGAGTATATGTTTATATAAAAAACCCCCCTTAATTTTCGACAAAGAATCATCTCCTAAATTTTTTCGCGCTTTTTTAGATACATTCTGTATATAACAAATCATTGACTATCCGCTTATTTTCTGTAATTTGCAGAAAACTTTAAAAGTACTTATTAGATAATTTTTTAACCGGAATATGATCATCTAAAAGTATATTAGAAAGTTTGATTCCTTTAAAAACTTTATTATATCTTATTTTTTTAATTAATAGTTTTTAAGGAGATGCTGCCGGTGTTCTGTTTTACCGACTTTAAGTTAGGTTAGGTTTACTTTTTATTAAATATACAGATTGAAAAATTCTCCACAATAAAAGTACCGATATAATCATGAATGGGAAGCGCTGTCCGGCCATTAATTTTTGCTGTTTTATGCCTCGACATCAAATCCGCACGCAAATATACATACACAATTAATTCAAGTACGAATCTTTTGATACAGGCTTTTAATCTCATTTTTATTACTTCTGTATTATTCTTTCACGTCATCTCTATTGGGAGCGCCATATTTTGTGCACAAATAAACTGCCGAACTTTTGTATTAAATAAGTATTGTTATGAGCTGATGCGAGAGGTCGATAAAAAAACTAATTTTTTAACTTTTATTATTTTTTTTTACACGAAATTACAGCACTCCCGTTCATTATTATCAGTACTTTCATTGTGGAGAAGGATTATTCAATCTGTATAGCCAATAAAAAGAAAAGCCCTTAAACTCAAAGTCGATAAAACAGTCATAGTCAGCATCCCCTCAAAAAAAAAAAAAATACTATTAAGCATGCACTCTCTTTTAAAAAAGTGTAACTCCTCGAGGAGAGATATAAGAGTATATGTTTATATGAAAAATCCTTTTTAATTTTCGATAAAGAATCTCCTAAATTTGTTCGCGTTTATTTGGAAACACCCTGTATGTAAAAAATCTTAGAGTATTCGCGTATCTTCTGTAATTCGCAGGAAACTTTGAGGAGTACTTAGAGAAGATCTTTCATCGGCACTTTAGATATTGAATTTTTTTGATCCCTCGAGTTTCTGTTTACACGCTAGCGTTTCGTATTTTTCAAACGAAGAATAAGAAAGTTCTCCCTTCCGTCCACCCTCCTTCTTACATCCGCGACGTTGTAGGATGCGATTTTATTTTTCTACGTCGATGTTTCGCCCCCACTGCTCCAGGCGACGGTATTGTTTCCCGCGCTATTTATTTTCCCTTGTCTCGAAAGCTCGATCTCGCGAGTTATAACGATTGAGGGAAAAAGAAGAGGTCGAATGATACCTCGACAGTTTTGCCACGACGTCCTTCCTCAGTAGGATATTGTTGAGCGTATTGATCGTGTCGACTTGCAGGGTGTAGTCCTGATCCTCGGGATCCCCGGGATCGATTACGACCCCGTCTATGCTGGGTCCGAAAGCTGGCGCGAACTCGAGCCCTTTAACAGGCACCGACACCAATTCGCTCAAGGACACGTCCCTCAGGCATCTCAGCAGGTTCTGAGGATCTCCCGTTGCCTGCGACATACAATAAAATCGCGTTTTATAAATGTGAGAGAGGAAAAAAAAAAGGACGAGAGAACGCGGGATGTCTTTAATATCGAAAATATTGCGATCGAGAAGAACGTTTCTTTTTATTATTTTCCGAGCTCGACTTTCCGCGAAGTAAATAAATTGCTATAACGGTTGTTGACAAGTTATAATAAATTATTTATAAGGTAGAGAGGAAATAATCTTGTATGGGAAATTAATAATATAATAATTCTATTAATATAGGCTATTCCTCCTCTTCACAATTTCCGATATTATAATAAGAATATGTTTTAAAGAGAATGTTATAATATTAAAATATTTGAATATGTTTTAAAGGGAATGTTATAATATTAAAATATTTGATATTTTATAATAAGAATGGTGAAGAAAAAAAGCAAACAAAAAATGTTTAAAGAAATTATACTTCTAAAAGTTATAATTTCAAGTCAATATTATGGGAGCAAGACTAATTTTAAAGAATTATATTTGTTAAAAATATAAGACTAACATTAAATAATTTTTAAAACAACTATGAAGAATTTTTTATTATTTACACTGATTTTTTCAGCTCAATTTCTCACAAAGTAAATATGTGTCTATAGAATAATTAGATCTTTCAATCAAATTATAATAAAATATTAAAATATTAATAAAAAGAAGACAAGAAATAATCATGTAAGTAAAATTAATAATAATAATTCTAATATATTTTTGATAGAAATTATACAATTTTCAATTTCAAGACATAACATTTTTGTTACAATAAATTTCATATAAGATACTATAATATTTTATATATATAATAGAATATTATGTAATAATATTTGATATTATAATAAGAATTAAATTTTATTTAAAAATAGAATGTTATAAGAGAAAATATTCGATAAAATATAATAAGAGTTAACTTCTATTTATTATCTGCATCAACTTTTTAAGCTTAACTTTCTGTGAAGTAGATAAATGAATATAAAAAATAATTTATGATCCCTCTCTCTTAATCGAATTATGATAAAATAATAAAATATCGATAAAATATTTTTAAAATATGTTGAAATAAAATAATCCCATAAATAATAATAAGAATAATAATTTTTTTAAATAGAATGTCTTATAATTTTAATTTTAAGAAGTTAAATAATTTTAACATTACATAATTTCTGATATAATTATATATAATAATAATAATAATACTAATATTTTTTAAATAGAATATGTTCTAAGAATATTTGATATCTATATAAAATATATAAATTATTTAAATATAAATGAGATAAAATTTTTCAATATTTTTTCATAGCTGTATACATATATTTAAAAAACAAAAATATTTCAAGAAAAAAAAACGCATTTCCTTGTAAAAAAAAGCGAATTTTTGTAATATTAGAATCTGCAAAATTAAATATTCATCTGATTGATCTGTCAGAAAATAAAAAAGAAATCGTTAACAACACACGGTGTTCCCAAGCGGTCTCCCATCTCAGTAATAATCGTGCTCAACGTTTCTTGACTGCGGTGATCAGACGAGAACCGGTATTTTAGAACGTGATTTGGTCGTTGACGAAAGAAAGTGTTTTCTGTTACATAAAACTAAATAAATTTTTTTTTTAATCTCTAACAGATCGATCATAAAAATTTAATAAATAAAATTAATAATTAATTAAAATTTCTATATGATGTTATTAATAAAAGAAGATGCAGTAGAATCAAATAAAACTTCTCAATATTTTTTCATAGCTGTATATATTTAGAGAGCAAAAATATTTCTAGAAAAGAAATGCGTTTCCTTACAAAAAATGCCAATTTTACCCTGTCTAGTTTGTTAATTGCGTGTATCGTGAATTGACGCGTCCGGAAATCAAATTGATTTTCTGGAAGGAAGTTATTTTCACTACAGAAAGTATTAATATTATCATTTATGACCATCTCATAGATTTTGTCTATATTCGACAGTAAACTGATTGGACTGTAACTGGCAGGAAGAATTTTACCTTCATCTTTTTTAGGTGCTGAAATTACTTTTGCTTTTTTTCATTTTTGAGGAAAGAATAATTTAATTATCAAAATAAGAATAGAACAGAAGAAAGAAAATAAAAATTGTTTCAGGGGATGCTGGTCAAGACTGTTTTACCGACTTTGAGTTCAAACGTTTTTCTTTTTATTGGCTACATAGATTAAAAAATCTTTCTCTACAATTAAAATACTGATAATAATGAGCAGAGAACGCCGTAATTTCGTATAAAAAACAATAAAAGTTAAAAAATTACAGTTTTTTATCGGCATCTTGCATCAGTTCATAACAATACTTATTTAATACAAAAGTTCTGCAGTTTATTTGTGTACAAAATATGGCGCTCCCAATAGAGATGACATAAAAGAATAATACAGAAGTAATAAAAATGAGATTAAAAGCCTGTATCAAAAGATTCGTACTTGAATTAATTATCTATATGTATATTTGCGTGCGGAATCGATGTCGAGGCATAAAACAACCAAAATTAGTTGCCGGATAGCGTTCCCTATTTATTATTATCAGTACTTTTATTGTAGAGAATTTTTTAGTCTGTATATTCAATAAAAAGTGAACCTAACCTAACTTAAAGTCGGTAAAACAGAACAACGGCAGCATTTCCTTTAAGAAATCATATTTTTCCAGTTAATTTCAAGTCAATATCGAAATTAAAGAACCATATTTGTCTAGAAATATATACATATTCAACAATTTCTAGAACAGATTACAATTATAGCAGTTTCGCCTCGGCGAAGGTCGACTCATTCAATTAAGATCGCGAGTTACGAGACACATTATGTGTAGCGACCTCGCGCTCGGTAATTTTATCGAAACGGGGGTGCAATCAAAGAGCTCCGTGCCCTCGTTCCGTACGCGGCCAATTTGCTCACACGGGAGCCAGGAGGGGAGATCGCCCGGTTTCGTCAGCGACCGACTCGACATTCGATTGCGGCCAACCTTCCTGGCCCCTTTTCCTCCCCATCTCTGGCCTCTGTCCGTATGGAGGTAGATAGAGAGAGAGAGGGAGAGAGCCGATTACCGGCGTTAAAGCAATTCATTTGCGTTCACCGCCGAATTAAAGCGGAATCGCCGGCGAAGCCAGCGGGTCCAACATGGGTTCCGGGAAATCAGCGACTCCGAATTCTGCCGAGCTGACGCACGAAAATCTTGTTTGCTTTGACGGAGTAGGGGATGATGGTAGCGGCTCGTTAAGGTACCGGCCTCGTTCACCAACCGAGGGTGAAAACATCGCGGGAAAACGTGTCGACGCGCGATATGCGTTAACTTCGCGGCGCACGTCTTCCGGTTTTTAGTCTCCGCCACGTGATTTATATTTTCCCCGTGAGTTTTTAAAATATACAGTTTAGCTCTCGTGGAAAAATAGGGGAAGCGATAACCGAGGATAATATTTTCTTTAGAGAGAATAAATAAACCCTCTTTTATATATATATATATATATATATATATATATATATATATATATATATACATAAAAGAAAAAGAAAAAAACACTTCTCTTTCCTCTTTCTCGTTTTAGTAAAGCTCTCGAATAGATTAAAGGATAAATAAAATATTCAATCCTTGTGTCAATAAACAGGGCAATCATACATTGATGAAAAAATTATGCATTGAAAGGAGGGTCGAAAAAAATCCAGATAAAATCAATTAGATCGAATCAAAACAAATAACAAATAAATAAAATAATAATAAATGAAAATAAATAATTAGAAATAAAATAAATAAATTAATATAATTAAATAAATAAAGTAAATAAATAACATAAATTTTACGAGATTTTTTTCTCTTTTCGGGCAAATGTGTTATGTCGAGACAGGAAATAAAATTAACCTTTTAACCGAAAAACATGGTTTATCGTGTCTAAAAAGGATTCATTTGCGAATACCAAATATTGATGAAAAGGTAAAAAATTATGCATTGACAGGAGGATCAAAGAAAATCGAGATAAAATTAATTAAATCGAATAAAAATAAATAACGAATAAATAAAATAATAATAATAATAAATAATAAAAATCAATATATAAAGTAATATAATTAAATAAATAAAATAAATTTTACGACATTTTTTCCCTTTTCGGGCAATTGTGCTATTTCGAGACAGAACATAAAATTGACTTTTTAACCGAAAAACATATGGTTTATCGTGTTTAAAAAGGATTCATTTGTGAATGCCAAATATTGATAAGGTAAAAAATTTTGCATTGACAGAGGGTTAAAGAAAATCGAGATAAAATCAAGGAAATCGAATCAAAATAAATAAATAAAATAATAATAAATTAAATAAATAAAATAATAAATAAAATAAATAAAGTAATATAATTAAATAAATTTCACGAGACTTGTTTTATATTTTCGGGAAAATGTACTATGTCGAGACAGGGGAAAAATTAACCCTTTAACCGAAAAACATACGGTTTATCGTGTCCAAAAAGGATTCAAATTTGCGGGTGAAATGAAGGTAACGATTAACCGAGGATTAAGCGTGCGAAATTCTTTCTCGTTGTTTCTGAAAGTGTTTCGGGGGAGGAAAAAAGTGGCAGCGCGAAAATGGAAATCGAGGCCGGGATTATATTATGCCGTACGAATCAGCGGGAATTTGTAGCGGGAATCAATTTTATTTCACACAACCTTCTCTTCCCACTTCTCTCTCTATCTTCCCATGGGATATCTATGAACAGGGGGAGGAGAAGGGGGTGAAAGTTCGAATTGGAAAAACACCGATGAAACCGGGTTATCTTTTATTGCGTTATTTTTGACAGACGAGGACGGGAGCTTATATATACCATACATATATATATATATATATATATATATAAAAGAGAGAGAGAGAGAGAGGGTATATCTGGTCTCTTTTTCGACGACGATCGGAACGAATATCGTCGCCGGAATTTACAACGCTGCATATCAATTTCAATAAAGAAGACGTCATGGCGGCTACGCGGTTATAAAGTGGGCCAAGTACGTAATTCACCTTCGATAAAATAGCCGTCAACCGAGGACAACATATTTTTCATGGCATTTGTAGTGTCGGGATTGTATATCCTGAGAAAAACGAAAGAGAGGGGAAGAAGTAAAAAGAGTAAGGTGCGAAATCGTCTGTATACGATGACATATAGAGTGTGCTATTTACAGCGTTTCTTATTGAATTCCGAAATAAAATCGACACGCACGCGTGCGCGTATTATAAGTACATATATTATTATTTTTTTCTTTTTTTTTTCTAGCAACGTTTCTTCTTATAAAATTGATTTAATGCGGGCGTTCGAGCGATTATAAAAAAAAAATTTCAATCCCGATATAGTATAAAATATCCCGTTTCGCGCGTTACAAAGTTATACGAAAATTTGCATCCGATGCCAATTTGCAATTTGCGAAATTTAGCCTCCTCTTTATTGAAAATGCGCGCGCGTTCGCCTATTGGGGCCGATGTATGTCTCGGGTGTATATTAGCTTAATTGAAACGCCCCGTTAATATAATTGGTGTTGCGTAATTAACGCTGTAAAAACACGGATGCGGGGTTATTCGCGCATTTGATATTTTAATTTATGTTTGTCCGCTTATTATTGTGAATTATACGACCAGGCGTCCGAAAACGAGCGAATAAGAATTAACGTGAAGAGAGAGTGAGAGAGAGAGGAATGTCGACGCAGTGAAATATAACGGGTACGTGTTCTGTCGATCGGTCCCATTCTGTTAACTGAAATAACAAAACCTATCCGAATTTAACGCCGGATTCATCGGCGCCTTCGCTGTCTCGTAAATTTGAATCTGTCAAATTTTTAAAAAATTCTTTTCGTTTAATAGCATATTTTTTAATATTTTCTTAACTGAGATATTTGTTAAATTTGAATTAATTTATACAGGGTAATTATATTTTTAAAAAATCACTTTAATTTTTGACAAAAAATTATCTTCTAAACTGTATATGTATATTAGCGAAAAAAACGTCCACCGGGATAAGAGAGGCGCTACTGAAGCAAAACAAATATGGCCGCCGCGAATATACAACGACAGTTTTAAGTGTAAAAATTGATTTTTTTAATAAAAAAAAATGTCACTGCGCTAGACATACTCTGTGATTATACAAAAGCTACGCCTTTATGAAGAAACATTATTAATTTTCCAAATAACAATAAGATAATATGTTAAATGTATATTCGCGACGGCGATTTATGATAGTTCACGCGATCACCACTAGTGTCGCATTGAATTTTTAAGCCCCGAATATATATATATATATATATATATATTTCTCAAATGTTTAATTTACTCTATTCTTTCTTTCTCTTGATCAAAGTTAATCATAATAAAAATTTAATTTCGATGAAATTGCTCGAGGCGATAATTCGAGTTTCGCACGTTACAAAATTCTATAATGTTTTAATAAAGATATATCTTTTATATAATTTTCTCGGACCGTGCGACCGAAAAGGAAGTGGGTATCGGGGAAGGAAGGGTTAATGAAATTATAGAGACTGACGCGCGCGTAGGGGATAATTTCGGCGCGATCGGGTGGACATGTTTGCTGGTACTCACCGACGAACAATTTAGGTGTTTGGCGACCTGCATGGCGTAATTGGCGGCGCCTCTCACTAACGCCCAGGGTGAAAGTGCGCTGCCTGACATCAGGACGCCACGATGGAACAGCAGACCTGCAATCGAGTCCCGCCGCTGTTACGTAATATCAGGTACAGTGCCCTTTGTAAGGCTCGTTACGAGTCTCAAAAGCGTTCAAACTTCGAAAACTTTTACCTCACAAAAGAATCCAGTAATTAAAGCATCCAGTTCATTGGTCTTTTACAATTTATTTATTTATTTTTTATTTATTCTCTATTTATTTTTTATTTATTTATTTGATCTTTTTGTTTATTATTTTTATTTATTTACTTATTTAAATATTTATTGTTTTTTTTTTTATTACCTTCATTATTTTTATTTTTTACTTATTTAAATGTACTCCTCAAAATAATTAAAGGATCAAAAAATGGTCCATAAAATAGGCAAACTTTAAATAGTTGTAAGTTTGTTTTGAAAAATAATAATTTAACTTTTAAAAAAGGGTTTTAAAGCTTGAAATCTCTACTTTTAAAAGGTCATAGTTTTTTCATTTTCTTCAGTTCTGATATTTTTTTATAAACAAAAACGACGAACATAACAAAATGGAAGATTTTTTCTCACTTTGCAGACATGTCGCACACACAAGATAATCTGAGAAAAATTGTTTGACATTTTTATGTTAAAGCTTGAAGTTTTCCCTGCAAAATCGTTTTTTAAAATTTAAATTTCAATCTTTCCCTATCAAGTTATCGTAAATTGAAGAGAAAATGTCATTTTCACATTAATCGTTCATAACTCCGTTAAAAATGATCGTACAGCAATTTTAAGAATGGATTCTTAAAGCTGAATCTTTGCTCTTTAACATGATATAGAAACTGAATTTTTTTTAACTCGTATAAATTTTTTAGAAATAGGTGAAAATAACGAAGAAATTCGCGAGTTTTCTCCCTTTTGTTTAAACTTTGAATTTTGCCTATTTTTTATCCCTTTATTATTTTGAGGGGTGTATTTATTCACCCTTTTGTATCTTTTTATTTATTTCATAATAATATTAATAATAATAAATACGGATATTGTCATTAATAAATATCCTTAATTTTACAATGACTTTTACTCTCCAAGATTTTGCAAATGCTTACAATTAGACAGAGAGATAGGCGTAATTAAGTATTAATAAAGTAATATCTTCCTTTCGCAAGATCTCGGGATCTCAAGCAATTTCCTCGCTCGAGTTGTAACTACCCCTTACGTAGTTCCAGGGTGGTGCAATCTTTGCGTCTTTTGCATACTTGGGTTTTCCTGAAAATGTTCTATATCCGTCGTAAAAATCCTATATCCTAGAATCACCGCGATTCCGGAATTTCTCGCACGCCTTCAAGAGAAAGAGAGAAGGGCTTCGGCTTTATCTCGGGATTCGCAAATCATATCTCGTAATGCAAAAGTGTTTGTTCGAGGGGATGAGGAAAGGGAGAGGAGAGATTATATATCGCGACGCGCAGAATTGAATTTCGAGATGATTTCGAGGTCGATTCCTCTCGCGAACGCGGGACTACGATATTACCTGAGTAAACGAAATACAATCCGAGTTTCAATGCATAGTAACGCGAATACTCTCATCTCGATCGCTCGATAGATTTATTTCCAATCAACGATTTCCATTACGATATTATCAACGATTTCCGTTCTGAAGATGAGAATCAATAAGATCACGGACCGAATGTTGCCGTGTAAAAAAAAGAAGTGTATGTACACACAGGATGCGAAAAAAAAAAAAAGATGAAGATGACATATATATCGGACTTCCACTTTTGCGATATATTGAAGAAAAAATGTAAATGAAGAATTTCTCCGTAGAAAAAATTCGCAACTAATTTACAACTTAATTTTACGTCAGCATAAATTATGTATGTGAATGTCTGTGTGCAAGAAATTGACTAATAATAATGTACGCACTTGTATATATATTTTATTTACGAGTTTTATTAGTAATGCATTACTATTACGTAAATTAAGGATGAAAAGGAAAATTAATAATTAAGTAAATGCAATCTTTATTCATTTCTCAGGAAAAAAGAAGCATCTTTTCGTTTCCATTTAATTAAGAGTTTCCACTTTCTACGGGGAGTAAGGAACAATGAAAGAATCGTAAAATTCTTCTCTTGGTAATAATAATAAAATATGTATTCTCGAGGGCAACCCGGAAGAGTTGACCTTGAGTCGACCTTATTAGCGATTAATTTTCTCATCACGCGTCGGAAAATTGGACATTACGTAAGAGATGAATAGACAAGAGACTGCATGGCTCTCTCGCAGTGAGAGGAAAATTAAGGCATCAGGAGGAACACGACGTGTTGCAAGCGCTTCGTCGTGCGTTAGTTAGTCTATTATTTACTACAGAAGACCAGGATAAGTTGCTTAATCCCAATCCTGTAAGTCGTTAATCTTGATATTTCCAAGATATATGGTTCCGCCCGTAAAGATGTTACATAAAATAATTCTCGATGCAAACTAAAAAGTGTAAAAAACTTTATATTAAAAATATATAAATAATATATTAAATATATATTATTTATTTTTCCAAATAAATAATTTTCTTTTCTTTATTTCATATTTATTTTATTTTTCCAATCACAATAAAAATTATATCAATTAATATTTTAGTAATATTCTTAATCTCTCTAATATCTCTGATAAATTTATTTTAATTAGTAAATTATTCTTATTAAAATTGCATTTATATATAAATTAAAATTCTTTCAAATTAAATTTATATAAAATTTACTTTTTCAATATTTCACTATACATATGACATTCTTAATAATAATGTATTGTTTAATTAATTTACTAATCAAATTTTAAAAAATATTAATTTGTATTACACGTGCAGGCAAAGTGGCATTTTGTGTGCGTGTTTTCTGTGCGGAAAGCGGCCGATTTCCCACGCCGGATTAACAATTTTCCGCAGTTGATACACAATATACTATTGCGATAATTTCATTATTAATACGCAACATATTATATTATTAATGCATAAAATTATATGTAACTATTATATTAACTTGCGCGCGCGCACAAACTTACAAATTTGCAGAGGAGACTCGAACATTGTGGAGAGAAAATCCGGAGCAATTGCAGCGGTCGAATGACTCGCGGAGCAGCTTCGGTAAACCAGGAACGACAAGCGACGTTCTTCCACGTGTAATCCCAATTCGGTCGATCGGTCCGAATCTAGATATTCAACGGGAGATGCGTCTCCTGGAGCGATCTTATCAGCCCCGATACATGTCAATATCCGATTGGATCTCTCATTCATTTAGTAAAGGAGATATCGGAGGTAAACTCCGGAATATCTTGAGGGACAGCGTTCTCGACGTATTTCCGACGTATTACGGAATCAAGATGGCCCCGTTCTTCCGATATCCGTCGTCGACGAGAGGACGACACCAAACGATAAGACGGTGTCGAAGCTCGCGACATTAAAGGACTATTAAAGGATTATCGCCGGCTCAAATTCCGTCGCGTTACTTGGATTTAATGGCAGTCCTCCATAATACCCGGAGGATTAATTAATTCCTTCGAGGGAACAGGATCCCCGGGAGCCAAGCGTTCGACGAATTAAAGGTGCGAGGATCAAAGGAAATGAGGTATCACAAGAGAAGGAGAACATTGAAATCTGGAAGGGAAAAAAATCTTCGAGATCCACAAAGACCTAGGAGGAACTTGGAGATTCAAGCTGCAGGATTCAAGTAATCGAGAAATCGAAAAATCGGAACTTGAAGGAGCCGAGAGATTCAAAGACTCTTATAAAGTATTCGAGACGCAAAGGGAATGTGAGATAAAGAGATTTAAAATTTAAACTCGGAAAAAAATTATTCATTCAAGACGTAAGAAATAATGAGAATACATAGAATTAATGATTAAATAACATTAGGAAGAAAGATTTAATTGATTAAAGAAGCCCCGATAAAAAACAGAAATAAATCTTAGCTTTTAGGAAAATTTTAAGATATGAAGTTAAGAGGATCCTAAATATCTGTGAGAAGTCTGTTTTTTTTCCTGTTTTATCGACAAAATGTAAGGTTAGATAAACTATAAATCTATTTATTGGCTATATGGATTGTTTTTTAACTGAAATTAGAGCGCTTCGCTCTTTGTTAATATTAATACCTTAATTTGTGCAAGAAAAAAGATTTATCAATCTGTATAGTCTCATATATCTTAGTTACAGAATTATAAATTCTAAGCGTTCATAATTTTGTAATCAAGATATATAAGACTATACAGATTGATAAATCTTTTTCCTGTACAAATTAAAGTATTAATATTAACAAAGGACGCTTTAATTTTAGGTAAAAAACAATCCGTATAGCCAATAAATATATTTAGAGTCTCTCTAACCTCACATTTTGTCGGTAAAACAGGAACAAAACAAAAACTTCTCAAGAACGTTTAGGATTCCCTTAAGAAGAAAAATTCTAAAAACTTTTAAAATAAGTTTAAAAATCAAGAATCAAGAATTCATTAAGCGAGGAATTTTCACACCAACTCATTATACATATATAATTAATTTAATACTACATAAATTCAATTCTTCTAATTTAATTATATAATTAAAATCATTATCACACAAATATACGCGAGAGAATTTAAAAACTTTATTAATCTGTATTATTTATCGCGATCGATTTTCTGCGCGAAAATAGAAGAAAAGGAGGGCATGAGGGTGCGATATAATTTTTTGGTCGGAAATGGCGCGCCATTATTCTTCGTCGTATTCTTCGACGAGTCATGCGGACCCCCGTTTTATCAACGCGAGGCGACAAAAAAAAAGCGAAGTGTACATCGTAATCTGTTTCGGAACCGCGGAGCTTATCGCCGGGACCCTCTGGATGATAATTCACTACAGCTGCGAGTTGTCAATGGTGGTCGGGCCAGCTGATTCCCACGTAATTTATGGCATCTGGTAAACCAGCTCCATTATTCCTGGCTCCTCCGTATCATTGTCTCGTGCGGCTTCTCGCTCTTCGACCTGCGTCCCTTCTTCCTCCCCCTGTCCCTTTCCTCCCCGTTTCACCCCGTCGTTTCTGCCTGACGTTATCTGTTTCCATGTCGTGACGCGACAAGAGAAACAACTCTCTATGGGTTGATCCCAGACAATAAACTGTTGCTAGGATTACTTCTCTACAAGCATATTCGAGATTCTAAGGGTCTTCGAAGATATATTTTAGCTTCCGAGTAAAATTATGTAATATAATATTTTATTCCAGTAAAATTAGACTTGAAAAGAGCAAAATTTTATAAAAATTAGGATCAAGCTGAATTTTTGTGGAGATCTTTATTTCGATGTTCTAATGACATTGTGAAAAGTACCCTTAATTTCAACTACGCCTTTTTTTATGGAGGTTAAAAGGGGGCAAATTTTAGTTTTTTGCTATTATCTCGGAAACTATCAATTTTTCGAGAAAAATAGTTATTATCAAAATTGTAGCTCATAAAATTTCCTACAAAAAAGGTCGTTATACTTTTTTTCGTGGAATTACCCGCTTCAAAAATATAGAGCAAAGTCTGAAAAAGAAAATATGCACACTATTATAAACATATAACGATTATAAAACTAAAAAAAATATAGTATAATATTTTTTGTATAGAATTTTATCAACTACAATTTTAAATAATGACTATTTTTAGATAATAACTATTTTTCTCCAAAAATTGATAGTTTTTGAGATGATGACAAAGAATTAAAATTTATCCTCATGAAAAAACGCCCTGAATGAAATTAAGGATGATACTTCAGGATTTCATTAGAACATCGAAATAAAGGTCTCCACAAAAATTCAGCTTGATCCTTATTTTTATGAAGTTAAAGTCTAATTTTACTAGGCAGAATAATAGATGTAAAAAGTCTCGGATAAATTGTTTATTTATGAATTCGTCAAGGTTTTGTCTTAATTTTTTTTTATTATTTCTTATTTATTTAATTTATGCGTTTAAAATGTTTTCGACGTATTTAATTATAATTATAATTGATTAATATTGATTAGGCTTTATGAGGAAAATGCGCCTAACATCAAATCCATTTTTAAAATCTCATATTTTAACAAGATCTTTTTAAAAAATAAAAATTTAATAAATCATATGATTTATACATGAACTTTTAATAAATAAACATATTTTTTTATAATGCATTTTTAGAAATGCAAAAAGTAGATAATATCTGATTGTGCACATTATATTCCTAATATTATTCACTTTATTTTTAAAGGCTAGATTACTTAAAAAAGCATTATTAATTTTAATTCACTAAAATTTATTCAGTTTGAAATATGACAGATTATATTTCAAACTGAAATTATCTATTTTTAAATATCAATATCAGTTGATATTTGAAAAATATTTTTCAAATAAATATACCTTTCCGAGCGAGAAAATATACATAAAAGTTTACATAACTTAATTTTTAATAAAATTACAATAAATAAAAACTATAACTTACAGACTGCATATATTGTTAAAAAAAACTTTCATGTATCTTTTCATTCTGAACGCACTTATGCAAATATAAGCAAAACTGAAACAATTTTCACCAACAAACTGACTACTTTGTTCACATCTGCAGCTGGACTAACATTACACTCCACAAAGAGGAAGTAATTAAGACAGCTCCAAGAGAGTGCAAAGCATTTACCAGTAGAGAGAAACACAAGTGTACGATATTGAGGTCACAGTTGCCTTGTATTTTTTAACAATTATATCTTTATAGAGGCAAAAGTTTTCGCGTTAAATATAAATTCAGCGACACAAGTTGGAGCAAAAATGGAGGGTTGGCTCACCATCCGGTACCGCGTGGCTGGTCATCAGGAAGTTAACGCAGGCGGCGCCGGTTCCGTGTCCCACCAGCGTGACGTTTTTGGGATCACCCCGAAATAAGCGATGTTCTCCTGTACCCAGTGTAACGCCGCGATCTGGTCCATCAGGCCGTAATTCGCCGGCGAGCGTAAGTGCGAGTCTGTGTTGGCGTTTAGAAAGCCTGCAATCAAAACAAGACCCCGCTTATATGGTTAGAGCGCGAAGGTCCATTATCGCCGCGCGGTTACGGCTAGTATAACATCACTGTGATCGCATTGGAATTATCGCCGATAGTGCTAATTCCAATAGTCCCGTGTCGCCGATCACATCGAGAGACAGGCGAGATAAATAGTGAGATACGACGAAGCGGAAGTTATCGCGGGAAAATGAGATAGAATATAATTGAAATGCTTGATATTATATACACTTGAATCTAGGTAATTTTTTAAATATATAATTACACCAATCCTTTACTAATTATAAAATTAAGTATAAAAGTGTCTTTTCTAATTTTGGGAGTTTATAAAAATTGTTTTAATTATTGTATTTAATATTCTATAATTTTATATTATGTATATAATATTTAATACTATTTATATAAGATTACTTATATAAAAGTGACTTTTCGAATTTTGGAAATATAAAAAAATTGTTTTTATTATTATGTCTTATATTTAATAATTTTATGTAAAATTAATTATATAAAAATATGTCTTTTCGAATTTTGGGAATATAAAAAAAATTCTTTAAATTATTATATTTGATACTTATTAATTTTATATAAAATTAATTATATATTATAAAAAATTGTTTTAATTGTGATATTTAATATTGAATAATTCTATACAAAATTAATTAAATAAAAGTATCTTCTTGAATTTTGGGAATTTATAAAGAATTGTTTTAAATATTATATTTAATATTCAATAATATAATTATTTAATATTCAATAATTTTATATTATGTATATGATATTTAATATTATTTATATAAGATTACTTATATAAAAATGACTTCTCGAATTTTGGAAATATAAAAAAATTGTTTTAAGTATTATATTTAATATTTAATAATTTTATATCATGTATATATATATATATATAATAGTTACTATTTAATGTTTGTGTTTAATTTTACATCAATTAGCATTAATGTGTAATTCATGTTTCTCTTCATTTTTCATCTGATGAGAAATACGTTAACAAATTTTTTTGTTCTACTAATGCATGATTGTTTTCAATGCATGGATACCCGGGTACCAACTGTGTGCTTTCGACAAATTGCACCGCAACAAAATTTTATAATAGCTGCTGGGTATCGAACATTCTCTCTCGTTACATTTTAGGATGTTTCCGAACACAATGGATTTTTATATTTTGTATGTCGAGTATAAAAAAAAGTTTCGACATATTTTTAACATTCAATAAAATCATTCTATAATTGAAAACGATCGCGCAATTGTCGATTAAAAAAAGCACTTGAATCGAAATTAGCTCGTCGTCCGAAAATCGCGCTGTCGCAATTAACTTCGCACGTTTGTTTGCCAGGACAATACAGTCCCGAATAGGACTAGATCCCCAAAGAGAAAAGAACGCAAATAGAGCAATAAACATAAGCAAGTCCGGACATCTGGCAGATTTACGAATCCAGAATTTATTTCGAGCGGAAGCGGAAGGGTAGAGAATAAAGTCGGGCCGCGTTTGACGAATGTGTATTTCGACGAGGGCAAAGTCGAACGATTTGTGTATCGTGACAATACACAACGCGCGTCCTCCGACCCGACAAACCCCGGGTATAAGACTGTTGCCGCTGGCGCCATCCGGCTGTCATAAATATCACCACGACTCCGCCAATTGATAGCGATATCTCGTTCGGCGAAACGATACGCAAAGTAGGACGTGATACGTGTCTGTGAACACTAAATCATACCGCCTGCTCGTGGCCCAGACGGGCCAATCTCTGCCATTCCACCCCCTCGGCCATTTAATCCCTTCGTGCAGAAGGGATGCGACGTTTCCGGATGTGGTTGCGCGAACGGTATACAAAATCCGGCGCAAATAATTCGGACAATCGCGATGTTGGATGTTGCGCAAAAATCGTTTCTCGCAAGCCGAATGAATAATTGCGTTAATTAAATTTCACGCCGTCAAAAATCACGTCTTCCTTAAGCGGATGCTACCGTTGTTCTGTTTTAAGATAGGTTAGGTTCACTTTTTATTGAATTAAGTTAGGTTAGATTCACTTTTTATTGGATTAAGTTAGGTTAGGTTCACTTTTATTAAATATACAGGTTGAAAACTTCTCCACAATGAAGGTACTGATAATAATTAATGGGGAGCGCTGTCCGGCAACTAATTTTTGCTGTTTCATATCTCAACTTCGATTTTGCACACAAATATAATAATTAATTCAAGTACGAATCTTTTGATACAAGTTTTTAATCTCATTTTTATTACTTCTGTATTATTCTTTTATGTCATCTCTATTGGGAGTGCTATATTTTGTGCACAAATTAACTGCAGTACTTTTGTATTAAATAAGTATTGTTATGAGCTGATGCAAGAGGCCGATACAAAACTGTTATCTTTAACTTTTATTGTTTTTTATACAAAATTACAGCGCTCCCCGTTCATTATTGTCAGTAATTTAATTGTGGAAAAGGGTTTTTAATCTGTATAGCCAATAAAAGAAAAGCCCTTGAACTCAAAGTCGGTGAAACGGTCCTGGTCAGCATCTTAAGAGGATCCTACACGCAGCCCTGTTTTTTTTAAATTAAAAATAATTTTTTACATAAAATCGTTATGTGTGCTTTAAAAATGAAATTAAAAGCTTCGTCGTATCAAAAGATTCGTACTTGAATTAATTATTATATTTGCGTGCGGAATTGAAGTCGAGACATAAAACAACAAATATTAGTTGCCGAACAGTGCTACCCATTTATTATTATACTTTCATTGTGGAGGATTTTTCAATCTGTAAATTCAATAAAAAGTGAACCTAACCTAACTTAAAGTCGGTAAAAGAGTTCTGGTCAGCATCACCTTGAGGGGATCTTACACGCAGCTCTGTTTTTTTAATTAAAAAAGAATATTTTAACATAAAATTGATACGTGTACCCATACTTCAATCATAAAAAAGTATTTATTATTCTATTTAACCAATAAGAAGAAAAGGATGCGCAAAAATTTAGAATCCCCTTTAACCTTTTTGTATCCAAAGCAACTTTAAATGTCCGAAATTTTTTCCTCCCGAAACAAAATATAAAAAGGTCTTTGTATTCGGAAATCTTCTACAATATAACGGAAGAAGAATGTTCCACGTCCAGCAGCTGTTGCAAAAAAATTGTAGCAGTGCAATGTGTCAAAAACACGCGCTTGGTATACATGGATGAAAAGATGACAAATTAGGTGCATCGACAGAAGCGGAGATGAGTTACGGACAAATTGACGTACTTATTTCTTCGTAACGTTCTCTCCCTGTCAGAATTGCCAAGATTAATATAAAAAGAAAAAGGAAATGAGGAACTTTTTGCGAACAAAATTATACGTCAAGCAATTTCCTAATTGCGTTTCGCGAAACCGGGAATTATCAGTAGTGTCAGCTATCCATGTAGTCAATTAGTTCCAGTCTCTTTTAATATAGATAGAGAGGAGGAAATTAGATTAGCGTTAATTGAGTCAGGTCGACCCATCTAAAGAAGAAGGCGGGATTGGGTGGAAGAAAGAAGGAAAAGGCGGTTTGCGCCTTTTCCTTCCTTCCATTCGACCGAAATTAGATCGCGAGCGACGATTGTTGCTGCTGGCGAGTTCGGACGTGATATTTCCACTAGTAAGACTCGCCGCTCGGATCCGACATGTTTGCCTCGCGAGAAACGCCGCGCCATTAAATTATCCGTCATATTTACTCGCCGTTACGTACGTGAGGGCTGTTCTGCGAGGCAGTTAAGAGGATCATTTCTATTACAAGTCGCACCTTCACGTGTATATAATATATATATGTATATATATATATATATATATATATATATATATATATGTTTGCTGGTGCACATTAACTTTAGGGCACTCGGTGCCTTAACAAGGGAGGCGTTACTGTCGTCAGGATGTAGGTCAACGATGTTGCGCCGACTGTTTTCCGCTAGCCTTGCCAAATCGATAATTTGGAAAGCCGTGCTGAGTGGAAAAATGCCTAGCCTTCCTCCCTTTCTAAAGTCCTTATGGGATTAGGTACGTTCAAATCGATCTTACGGGATCGGAGATAGAATTAGACGGCTCTTGTGAGGATTGATTAATAAATATCTATCTAATCGAATTATTGCGCAGAAGGATATTCACTTTTTGCAATAGTAGTGCAATAGTGCAATTTTAATAAATATTTTAAATGATAGTTGAAAAGTGCAATTTTTTAATAAATATTTTCTCGTCGATAAGATAGTTGATTAAATTATTTTACATCTTTTTTTATTTCCTTAATTCTTGAGTATTTGCAAATTTGTTTTCTAATAGAATTTTTTATAAATATAATATATTGATCGTTGTATCATTTTTAGAATTTTTATATGAGAAAAATATCTACACTCTAAATAGATGCAATTTTTAAAATAAATATATTCTCGTCAATGAGAAAGTTGATTAAATTATTTTATGGAATTTACTTGCATCTCTTTTTCATTTTCATAGATTCTTTGGGTTCTTTGTATTTGAATTTTTTTTATTTTTAGAACGGCTTTGAATTTTCTCACTATTTATTTTCCTTTTGTAATGATAAAATGCAAATAATGCAATGCATTTCTTTTTATACAAGAAAATTCGTATCTAATTGGATGTTTCCATTATTGCGACACAATCTAGAGAGACAATCTTCATTATATCGCGTGAACATCGAGTGTGGCGGTGTTCATTCCATTCGCCCGAAAGTTTCCTCAGATTTTCAGAACATGGAGGATTCTTACAGGATTAAATTCTTCCGAGACTTTGGTGCAACACAACGTTTGCATCTCTTCCCACACGACGTTACAATCTCCCTTATCTCATCGACATTTCCTCGTCTCGTTCCTCTTCTACCTAACTACAGATCTGATCAGATCCAATAACGATCCTCTGTCGAATAGGGATAGGGTAGAAATAGGAAGGGTGGAAAAAATGCACAAAGCTTTTTCAACCCCCGTTACGCACAGAGAAAGGTGCGAGAACATAAAAGCGGAATAGAAATAAAGCACCGGTCATGTCCCATTTGATATTCAACCTCCGGCGTATCTGTCGCATCGCGCTTCCGCGTCTCCTATTCTTCTCGTTACAATGGAAACTGCTGAACGCTATTCGTTGATTTAAATTTTCCGGTACACGCCGGTATACATGCGGGAGGGGTTGGAGGTGGCGAATATCACGGTGTGGTGCTCACAAAGCGCCGCATCATTTTTCCGAAACGAAGGAAAATGGACAGAGGGGGACGCGAGAGAAAAATGCGAAGGGGAGGGAAAAAAATTTTGCGGCCGTCGCCGTGGAGTGGAATTTCCTGTGCGTCGCCATTTTACTCCTCGTTACTCGATGTTGTTTTTCTTTTTTTTTTCCTCACGGCCCTTTCTGTTTTTTTCAGCCGACGTTATCGAATCCTCCCCAAATTTGAATTTATTGTCTGCTGTCATTTCTCAGATTCGAATGAAGAAATTTTCCTTCCTTTGTTTCTATCTCGCTGTTCTACATTGATTAAGTATAATTTAATTCCAGTAGCGCATCAAGAAGTTTATAAGCTAATATCATTTAATTCTTCTAATCTTATCTTCCAATAAATTTTGTTATATCCAATAACAGCAGTTAACCAAACGATATAATCAAATTTTAAGGGGATCTTAAATTAATTTTTTAATTATAATTTTTTTGTTCTTAACATAAAATCGATAGATTCGCGCTTTGTTTCTATGTACTCTAAAACGATGAAAAAAGCATTAATTTTTTGTTGCTCAACCAATAAAAAGGAAAGGATTCACAAAAATGACGTTTTATCGATAAAACAGGATAGCGTTTAGGGGATTCCCTGAAACTTCATAATAATCTACTCTATACAGTCTAGACGTCATAATCTAGACGTTCTTAGCATAAAATCGGTAGATTCGCGCTTTGTTTTTATGTACTCTAAAACGATGAAAAAGCATTAATTTTTTGTTGCTCAACCAATAAAAAGAAAAGGATTCACAAAAATGACGTTTTATCGATAAAACAGGATGGCGTTTAGGGAATCCCCTGAAACTTCATAATAATCTACTCTATACAGTCTAGACGTCAGTTTCTTTGAAACACTTGACATCTCAAACTCTTTAATCTGCTTAGAATGTTTGATCTGTCTGTGAGTCTTATTTCCTCTTTGTTGCGTCGCAGAATGGGAGGATATTAAAGCACCCAGTATGGGGCGAGGATGATAGACGAGAACAGCAGGGGTTGCTGTCGCTTCGAGGAGTAGAAATGAGAGAGAGAGAGAGAGAAAGCGGGTGGAGTCAAGAATTTAGTTTGGTGAAACGGAAGACCTGGCCGTAATGAGTTTCCTATTAGATTTGGTTGCCCGGGTTGCCAGGCAACAAGCCGGGTCGCACCGGAACTCGCAATCCCCGTGGCGTTCGCGGTCAAAACTTATCGCCACTCGCTTCTTTAACGCCCCCGAAGCTTTTTCCGCGGCTTCTTATTCTCGCGGACGAGCGGTCGTACGTCAAACGTCACCGAGTAACAAGCTGGGAGTCTAATGGCACCCAGAGCGCGAGTGAGGTTAGGTTAGGTTTTGGGTCCACCATCAGCGAGGTGGGAAAGCGTATTTTCAGCCGATCAGCCGTGGGGGTTAGCAGCTAATACCTCTGCCAGGTCGTCTCTTTTGCGATCACGGCCTCCAGTCTGGATATTGCCCTCTGGATAGAGCGGGAAAATTGAGTAAACACACTTAGCGGTAAGTGACGTCGGTGCAACCGGCCCTAAATAGCTAATGAGCTACGGTCGACTGGCTCGTTTCAAACCTTAACTGCTGCGAGTCAGTGTTTCGCGCCATTAAACGAGCAACTAACATATGTGATTTATCTGAGTTTCGAACAGTTCGCGAAAGTTATATCTGACTCAGCAAACGAGGTTAATCATTGGATGTATTTAACGTGGGAAAGAGGTGGAGAGGAAGAAAGGAAAGTTTGGAAATCTGGGGATATAAACGGGAAATTTTCGGACCGAATTTATTTATAAAGGAATTAAAATTAGAGGAGAATACAATTCTTTTTTTACATCTGTATTCAAAAGTAAAATAATTTAAAAAGTATATATATATATTTGTAAAACAGTAAAAAATTTAGCTTTAGTCTGGAATTTCTTGCATATTTTTCATTTTTGCTAAAAGAGTAGATTTTCTGGAGGTCACTCTATGTTAGGAATTAAGAGAGACGGTGCATCAAAAATTCAAGAGCTGAAGAATGTCTTCAATTCTGGGGTCGTACGCGCATCCGAAAGCTTTCGAAATCCGAGATTTTTCCTGGACTTACGGATCCAAAAAAACAGAAGGTTTCTCCCGGAAATCCGGGATTCCGGGACTGGGAAGGTGATCCGAGGCGTCTACCGCGGATCGGGAACGAAAGAAATTTGTCATGACTTACCCAAGATACCGAGTCTATAGTTGATGGTGACGACGACGACGCCTCCGTAGCTCGCCAGGACGCTGCCGTCGTAAGGATTTCCGCTGCTCCATTCGTAGCTCTCGCCGTGCACGAACACAATCACGGGATATCTTCTGCCGCCGCCGTCCCTCGCGCCGGCTGTAATCAATAAAATTATCCTGTGATCGATCGAAACTCTCGACACCTGATAGCTCGCATCGCGCATCCTTAAAAGGTCATTTTTCAGTCCCCCGAGCTTCTAAGGAAGTTTTGACAGATCCGATAAAGAATTACCGTGTCCCGAGGAGGTGAAAATTACGCCGACTAAAAATCGAAGGCTTGCAATTCTTCGACATAATAAATTATTTCATCTAAAAAGTCAACATTTACAGTTAAGAAAGATCGAAGGGGAAATTAATATATATGTAAAATAAAAGAGATTGACAACAAATTCATAATTAATTAATAAATTGATTAATTAAGCAAAAGGATATAATAAATTTGTTAGCTCAAAGAATGCTATTTAAAAATAAATAAAAATTTCATACATATATTTGCTATTTAATTTATAAGTATAAATGTATATCAAATACAATTAATCAAGATTTCATTAATTAATTAAGATAATATAAATTAGCTAAGACAAATAAAATTTATATTATAAATTTAATATTAATATTTATATTATTAATTTATAATATAAATTATATTATAAAATTTATATTATAAGTGAATATATGTACAAAAAAATTAAAAATTAATAAATTAATTAATTAATCGAAGCAATATGATATAAATTTGCTGACACGAAAATGACTATAAAATGATTATAAAATAACTATAAAACAAAAATAACTATAAAACAAAAATGACTATAAAGTGATTATGAACCAAAAATGATTGTAAAACAAAAAATGACTATAAAATGACTATAAAATAACTATAAAACAAAAAATGACTATAAAGTGATTATGAACCAAAAATGATTATAAAACAAAAAATGACTATAAAATAACTATAAAACAAAAATAACTATAAAACAAAAAATGACTATAAAGTGATTATGAACCAAAAAATGATTATAAAACAAAAAGTGACTATAAAACAAAAATGAATAAAAATTCGATATATTATATCAAATTTATCACCGAGTGTAATTGCGTAAGAAAGGATCCTTTCGAAGCTCGCATTCGAGTTCCAGTTATGTTCGAGTTATGAACAAGCATGCGTGTCGAGAGACGTGTCGCCTATCGCTCTTGGGGTAATTAAAACAAGCGGCGGTGGCTCGCACACACGAAAGGGGTGCGTCAATCTGATTTACCATGGTAATGCCGGAAGGGTGAACACGCGAGGGTGATCGCTGCGGCCAAACCAAGCGCCGGCCATAATTCAACAAATCACGCGTCACCATCCTCGCGATAACAGCCCGCACCGCGATCACCCTGTTGCCTTCTGCAGCCTTCGGCCCTTCCCTGAGCCCTCGTGAAACGTGAGGACTGTACGACGAGTCATACTCATCAATATCAGTTTACAGGTTAATCCCCGCGAAATGCCCGAATTTTGCCGAATCGCGGCTTTTCGTCATTTTGCGGAACTTTTTATAATTATTAAAAATGTAATTTGTATATTTTTTTTATATTAAAAATATAATTTATATACTTTTTTTTATATTAAAATATACATAGAAGAATTTTTCATTTACTAAGTTAATTATTTATACCGAGCTTTATTTCAATTAATTTTTGTTAGCATTCTTAATAAAGAGATGAGTAATTGAAATTAATAACTTGGAAAAAAGGTTTTGTTTTAAATAATGCGTAGAAAATGAAAAAAGAAATGTGCAGTAATTAATTTAACTTCTGCAGGAATAAACGCGTCCTGGAAAATAAATGGCGGCAATGCGATTAGGGGAGTAAAACGGTAGCTTGATTGGCCTGTTATGTTAATTAAGTGACCGTCGAGAATGATGACGATTCGGCGACAAAATCAATTAATGGACCACAACCGCGCCGGCTAATTATTATTTTCATTATCGTCCTTGTAGCTTCCTCATGCGCTTCCTAATTGGCGACTCTCCCGATTGCCCGACAATACACGTCCCCGGACACACGTGTTCGCTAAAGCCCGTTTTATATGACTAGGAACTCGACTAGGAGAAATTCTGTCGGTAATTGTTTGTACATCTCGTAATAACGGAAACGCTGAAATTGCCCGACTTTCCGTCAACTTTCTTCAATATATATATATATATATTAATACATTGGAATTATTTTTTTTATATAAATAAGAATATTTTTTTATTTAATAAATTGCGAGTAAAAAATTTTAAATTAAAAAAAAATATCTTCGTGAAATATAAAAATATAATAAAAGATAAAGTAGGTAATATGAGCAATAAATAATATTATAAAAACATAAATATAAATATTGATATATGTATAAATGTAAAATTAAATACAAAATCGAAACAATATTAAAATAATTTATACAAATAGTTTCTTAATCAAATTAAAAACAATTATAGTTTTGAAATAAATTTTAGACTTTATACACGCTGTTGGCTTAATTATCGAAATTAATTTGCAATGCGAGAAGATACAGAAAATGTTCAACCTAAATTTACATTACAAAATGTTGAATATTTCGTGGCAGTAACAAATTAATTGTCACACAATATTTGATTATCGTTTTCCCCTTGACATTCGAGTGGCGTGATTCGAGTGAGAAGGTATTATTGTTAAACTTTCTATATATATATTCAAATTCCTTTCGCAATCGTGACAAGTATCGGGAAATAATTTGCTATGATCATTATATTAATTAATAATCGCTCAATTTTCGGTAAATGACGTATAATTGTATCGCGATGATACCTTTATCAAAGGATGTATTTTCTGCAATTTATTAATTTATTATTTAAAGTACGAATAGAAGTAACAAAAATGAAAATTATAAATTATTATTTCGTTGCGATTTTTCCAATAATTATTATTTCAAGTACGAATTGAGAAGCGACCTGGATAAAAATTATAATTATTCCGTTGCGATTTTTACGGACAATAATTATTTCTTTAACAATGCTCGGGATCAAATATATTTCGATATTTTATATTTTTGCCGATCTAAATTTAATTTGTTATTCGAACATTGAGACATGCAGTAAAATATCGCAATATCGATGAACGTAGAATTAATTAACGTAACGAAATGTCCCGATGATATATCAATTACTTAATAAATAATTAAGTTTAATTTATAATTAAAAAAAACAGATTTAATTAATATAATACAACGTATTATATACACTTTATTATTTAACATTTACAATATATTATATATAAATATTTTATGATACGTAAAATATTTCGGCAACAAGAATTAATAATAAACACGATGTTCGGCCTTGACGACATATAACACGCTATTGTTTACATGTCGTGGTTATCATTTGAATGGTGACACTCGACACGCTCTGCATATTTTCAAAATCCTTTTTCAAACATGATCGTAACAAGTGTCAGAAAATAATTTGCTATGATGCTTTTTAATTCATTATTTATTAATTTTAATAAATGACAATAGATCTTTATCGTATTTTATGTTATTTACTAATTCAAATAAAAATCAAAGCGTGACAGGATAATAATAATTATAAATTATAATTCTTTTATAAAATTATTTTTAGTAAAATTGTAGAAACAAGAAATTTTATTTATTATCTTACATTATTCCTTATTTTTATAATAATTTTACAAAATTATAATATTATATATGTATATATTATCATACGTAAAATTATAAAAGATTATAATTCTCATGCACAAATCTTGGAGAAGTTTTTTTAAGTCGAATAGTCAATAATTCGCAACTTTAATTAATTTTCATAAATGACGCAAGCATCACGACAATAGATCTTTATCGAAATCCGTATTTCATGTTATTTATTATTTCAAGTAAAAATCAAAGGATAATAATAATTATAAATTATAATTCTTTTATAAAATTATTTTTAGTAAAATTCTAGAAATAAGAAATTTTATTTATTATCTTACATCATTCCTTGTTCTTATAATAATTTTACAAAATATTATAAAATTATAAAAAATTATGATTCTTATGCACAAATCTTGAAGAATTTCTTTGAAGGTCGAATAGTCAATAATTCGCAATTTTAGAATTTGAAAAGCAGATACGAGAATCTCGAATTTGCAATATTCGAGAATACAAATATTGGAATCCGATATAGAAAACCTAAAAAGGAGGGAAAATATTACTTTCCGATACCAAAAATATTCAGAAAATTCGAAATTCGGAGTGTGTTGAAGGATTTCGCAATTGTGCATTTTTTTTTATAAAAAGCGAGATCGAGAGTGAAAGAGCGAGAGAGAGATAGAGAGTATAAATCTAATTTCTTGTAGGAGAGAAAATCGGGACCTCAATTCATCTCGCGGCCGCGATACATTATTTCGGCCGTGAATAAATTTACAAGCGCCCTGTCAATATTTGATGCGATCCGCAAACAATTTGCCAGGGCGCCTCTAACGGACTTTACATATTCATAAAGCGGTGCTCCGTAGTTTGATATCGCTGGATGGTAAACGAGAAGTACCTGCGTTCCCGTTAGATCGCTTTATTTTACAAACTCGATATTGCATCCGCCTTCTTAAAGGAACCCTTCCTTTAATCCTTTCCCCAGCCCTCCGGCTGGCAAATGCCGCCAGCTACAAGGAAAACAGATTGTGCATTCATCATGCATGAATCAAAACTTTATCTTCCATAAGCTGATCTAAATTGACTTTAAGGGGAAATCTGGTTTAGAAGGCTGAAAAATAAATAATTTTTAGAATTTTTTTTCTCAGCTAAAATAAAACCAATTTCAATTGCACATTTTATCATACATTTAAATTGTATAAAATAATTTTTTATTAAAAAATATTGAAGCAAAAATTTAAAAACTTTTACAACTTTAAAAAAAATTTACAATTTTCACGAAAAAATTGTAACTTTTTTTACAAAAGAAAATAATCTAATTTAACTTTTCTTATAATTTTTTTAGTTTAAATAGAAGGTAATAATATAATATTAAAGAAATGAATTGGTTTTTTTGTTTCAGACAAAAATTACGATCGCTAGGTTGTACACAGTGAAAAATGAGCGCT